GGAACATTTCTTGACTCCGGTAAGTAGCACAGTATTAGTTTTACTATTTTGTTTTTAACACGATACTTGAAGAGTGTTTCTACTACTAAGTTTTAATTTAAAGTTATTTTGGTCCAGTCTTGTTTGTTCTTCACTTAATCGCTCGCCAGACGTGGCGAAGCTGTCAATTTTTATCGAGTTTTGCATCCATCTTGTATCATGATCAAGGCATCAAGCTAAACTCTCCTGATTTGAATTGAGTTTACCTCCAAAAATGGGGCATAATTTGTTCATGTTTTTTTTGAAAAGATGAAGGGAAAGTTTACAACAGAGTTGTGTTGAAATTGAATGCAGTGCCATGCAAAATTAATGAGAACTATGGTATATGTTGTATAATAAAATAACTATTAAACTGTTTGCCTGCTCAATTTGACTGACTGTATAGTGTAGACAATTATAATGGGATTGGAAAGTTGGATTTATGCAAACAATTTTAAAGTACTACTTAGCGTTTCTGTAAATGAAGTATTTATTGTTATAGTAAACAGGTTACTACTTCAAAACCAAGATAAAAGTAGTGTGTTGAACAATGTGCTAAGATTTGTTTCTACCTTGAAATTTTTGTTCAACAATAGCTTATGATTATATCATTAATATGCATGAAAAATTAAACATATTATTATCTCATCTCGTTAAATCCATACTTGGTATGATTCCAGGTGATCCACAAATTCACATCAGATGCATTGGTTACAAAGAAGTTGAATGTAGAAGAAGCAAAAATAGATGGCAAAGAAATTCTTTGTGTCTTATGAAGAATTAGTAGAAATCAATAAAAAGAATTCTTTGAACAAATTGTAAACAAATTTAAATTTGCTCATGGTCAAGCAACCTAGTCAAAGAAGCAAAGTCTGTCTTCAACATGTGACCTTTCCAATTATTTAGTTTCTTTGTACAAAATACTATTTTCAGGAAACTTGATTTGTAAGTCTTTCATTAATATTTTTTTACCAAGAGATAAAAGGAACTAATTCAAAGGCTTGATGTAAAATACAAAGATTTAACAAGTTGTTTATCATTTAATTCCCAAATGTTAGTTTGTACATATAAATAATTAGTATTGGTAGCTGTAAGTTGTTTAAGCAAAACAGAAGAGTAGTAGTGCTCGAAGGGGTTAGCATTTTTGAAAAATTATATCTTGTTCATGACATATATTACACAATTCCAAAAAAACTGTAAGTAATGCACAATAATATCTATAGAACTTGATAAATTTCTTCAGCTACACTGTCAAATAACTATTTTGCCTTCATGCAGCAATAGACAGTGTTTTTGTCAGAGAAACCAATGCACTTTAGTTTCCAAGTTTGTAATTTCAATGGAAAATTAATGTAGTTCTGTTCAGTAATAGATCCAAGATTCTGCCAAGCTGTTTATAAAATACAAATTACCAAGCAACAGTGTCATGGTGTTTTGAATTTTTTTCTCATATTTGTAGCTGTTCTAGTTCAACATACTTTCTTTATGAGTTTTCAGTAGATTTATCAGGTAATGACAATACACTTATGATACTTATCCATGGTAAATTTTCAGTTGACTTATGTCGTAGGCTGAAGCAAACATTTTCTCGCTTCCTTAGGAGCATTTTTACACAGATTTATTCATTTGAAGCAAGAAAAATAGGTGCACCAAACTGTTTACAAACAGTCAAACACACAAAAGCATGAAATAATGTATAAGTTTGACGAGATTGACAGGTCTAGTAAAGATTGCCGTTTGATTTTCACTTTTAAAAGGTTAAAATGTCATAAAATAACTTAAATGTTACAGCCAAAATATTCGTTTCTCTACCGTCGATCTTCTTTATTTTGATGTGTTTCTGTACTGTGTTTTTCACGCAATGCTGAAGCATTATTTTCACATGATATGCTGTCGGTATCGTAATTGTTTTTTTTTCTCACTTGTTTTCGTTTAACATAAACAGTATTAGAAATCAGGAGGGAGTGAATATTGAAAAAAATTTTTAAAGTGGAAGTTTTGACCACCAAAATCCGCCATTACCGCCATGTTTTTGACCACGAGGCCCAGGCCCCTTTGCCCCTCCAGGTCTTATAGAGCTCAATGATGCGAGCGCTTTGGACACGCTTCCTTTGTTTTGAATGTCTAAAGCTTTAATTATCCATTGTAATCCCACAAAAGACAATAAAAAAAAACAGGAATGGTTAAAAGGTAATCCAAGGGATCAACTTTTGTTTAAGAAGTGTAAAGGACGCGGGTCAAACGGGCAAAATGGTTTACTGTTTTGCTCCTACATGTGGCCATTCGTCGGAGGGCAACACTTGCAAGTTCTTCGCTTTTCCAAGTGCTACAATGCTGAACGACGAGTACAAGAGATGGTTCGACTCATAAGGTATGAACTGATATTCAAAAAGAATTCCTTATTCGGTGAAAATTTGATGAATTACGTGATTTTAAGTGAGATTTACGGACTCTATTCAGGTGAAGAGTTGACATCAGGACATGAGGGAGAATCATCGAATACTGAATGATAGAAGCTTCAGCTAGTTGTCTTTTTAACAGTCGCTTTGTATTTTCCGTAGCCAAAACCTTAAATCTTAGTGCTTTGGAAGGTATAATCCATCAATTTTGAGGATCAAATTTTTATCACTTTAATGAAAGTACGACAGAACAACACACAGCTTCACCTAGCCCAATTGTTTCATTGTAGTGTGGCCACAATTTCTAACATTGTTATAGCATTCACTCATGTTTTGCATGAAATTTTGTTTGACGACCTAATGACGTCGATTCCATCCCAGAAACAAAAAAGCAAGATCTCTGCACCCTCCTCTTTCAGGCAATTTGAATCCTGTCTGCACAGATATTGAGCTTGCTGCACCGGGATTGATGAGTCAGCAAAATGCAACCTTTTTATCATACAGAGGAATGAATTCCTTTAAGGTAATAGTTGGTGTTGCACCAAATGGAGTCATTACTAATGTCAGTCGGCTGTATCCAGGTTCTATTTCAGACAAGGCCATTGTGTAACAGTCTGGACTCCTTAATCACTTGACAGCTGGAGATATGATTCTGGCGGACAAGGGTTTCCTTATCCAGGATGTTGTACCACATGGTGTCTGTGTCAATATTCCACCTTTTCTGAATAATGGAACTTTCACAAAGAGTCAAGAAAACAAAAGCCATAGCTAAAGCACAGATTCATGTCGAAAGAGCCAATGCTAGGCTGAAAGACTTCAAAATTTTAGGTGCCATTCCTTTGTATTTGCACTGCTATGCTGACATTTTGTTTCAGTTATGTGCAACACTTGTAAATTTGCAATTTCCTCTCATCAAAGAGGGATGCGAAGATATGGTTTTTGAGTAGTTTTATGCTTGAAGACTACATTGGACAGTTTTTTAATAATTATTGTTGTTCAAATAGAAATAAAATAATTTGTAGACTGAGGCTTACTTAGAAGAAAATACAGCTAGAGGGGTGTGGGGGGTGGAGCATTCTAATATAACAGTAAAGGGATGATTTTACCTCCTAGGGATTACAATATTTATCATCTGGTACAGCCTGGGTGTACATAGGTGTCAAATTAGATCACTGCGAGAATTCTTTTATCATGTTTAGGAGAACAGAAGTTAAAAGAAGTTTTGACATATGTTTTACAATGGATGTCTTTTTGGGGATAAAAATAAAAGCAAGTACTGCCCACAGTTACCCTTAAGGAGTCTTTCTGAACATTTCCCATGAGCATCCCATCACTTTTATATGGGAATTTTCCTTCCCCCCAGGAAAACAACATTAAATGATGTACCATATTTCCATGTCTTTTAAATACCATGTTATCCTTGTGTTTATTAATAAAAATGCAAATATATGTATAGCCTGTTACCACAACTCCCTCACACCAAACTAGTAGTGGTAGGTCAATTTGAGGACTGAAAACCGACGAGTATCATTATTTTTTAAAACAAATCGTTCATTAAAAAGCCTTTTTTATTTCACTACAAGAGAAAATCACGCCCTCGTGTTCATTTGGGCAACAAAAACAGTCTAAAACTTAATCTTGACATTTGGCATTCACCGTCACTTTATAAACCTTTTCTTTCATTCTTGCGTGTACTTCTCCTCGTAAAACACTCTGCTGGTAAGTAAATGCTTCAATGTGATCTGACTTAAGTGGTTTCCCCCCTTTTTTATAGATTTCTTTTCTTCTGAGAAGAAAAAAAAAGCGAAGCGATGGATAACGTCTCCATTTTGAATCGAATGGGCGCTTGTTTGGAACCATTGAACTAAATATAACTGGAAGGCTACCTTCGCCCGGAAATTTGAAGCCTAAGTCGACAGTATCGTTCCCAGTCTTTCCACGCTTGTGATAAACACGACCAAAACAAAATATGTCAGTGTTTTAGTCATTTTGACAGCGGATTTTGCAAACTATGAAAAAAAACTGGAAGTAAATTGCAAAAAATGTAAATTTTCCAGGTCATTTATAGTAAGTTTGATTACGGTAATAGATCAATCAAGCAATCGTGCCTTTTTTGAAAAAAAAAACAAACTTAACAAGCCTTGACAAATGCGATTTTGACATCTTGCAAATTTGCATGGTATTGTTTTAAAAATTTCTTAAAAAACGTTAAACCAATAATGACATTAACATAACAGAACGTTAGCAAAATTATGTTTTAAAGTAATATTTACGAAGAAAAACAAGTATAGCTTCTTCTCACCCCAGTCCTTTTTTTAACGTTAGAGCGTATATTTCCTTGATTTTGCAAACAAAAGTTATTTTTCACTGCATAATTGTCGTCTTTAGGACAAAGATAAGTATTCAGGATTGTTCAGTAAACATGCCACTTACATGTGTCATAATTGGGTGCAGGAACAGGGCTATTTCTCACCACATAGGTGCAGAAACTGTTGCTTTTCACAGGTAAAATTCCAATACATAAGTTGAAAAATGACATCAAACAAAACTGCAATTTGGAAAGATTAAACATGCTTCAACTACAAAATGAAATTTTAATAAAATTCAGTTAAATACTAACATATATAAATTCTATATTTTGACAGTTTAGTCATATACAGTATTTATTTGTTTCAGCTGGTCACAATTGCAATAAAATAATACTTTTCACAGTAAAAGTGTAAAGTAGATATAACTGGTATCATATTGTTAGTACAGGGCTTACAACTTTATTTAACTGGACAAGGATTTGTAGTGAAATTACTGGAAGTATAATATTTAAAATACTAGATCATGAATATTTATATGTATTACAGATTTCCCATGAAAAACAAGGCAGCCATAAAATTATGGGAGCATTTTGTTCAACAAGTAAACCATCTTGAAGTACCATGGACAGCAAAAGTGCACATCAGATATGCAGTGACCATTTTCAACTAACTGACTACATTGTCCCCCCCTCACAAAATGGCAAATGCCGACTAAAAAAGTATGCCATACCATCCATGTCCAATAGCTTGCATGTTCAAAATGTTTCAACTTCTACAACCCACTCAAACGCACTGCTGAATAGACTCGAGCTTTCAAATAAAAGACCTTTTGCAGCTACCTCTGATTCCGTTGATGAAACTTCTCCACCCAAAAAAAACTCCAAAACATCTACAGAAGAAAAAGAGATTTGTTTAAAAATAAGCTTCAACAAAAATTGAAACTTGCAACAACAACTGAGACGCACAAAACAAAAGGTTGAAACCATGGGTGAAGTTGTCAAGATTTTAAAAGATAAGTTGGTGATCAATTCAAAAGAGGCAGAAAGTCTTTTGTCCACTTTCAATGATACTCAGTTGGGATTTTTATACAATATTAGAGATAATTTAAAATGTCCTCGTTCAGGCAGAAGATACTCTGATGAAATCAAAGAATTTGCACTTACTTTATATTTTTATTCTCCAAAAGCTTATAAATATGTTCGATCCATTGTTCCACTACCCAATCCATCTTTGATGAAAAAGCATCAAAGGCAGGTTTAAAGGTATGGTCTGTAACAGCTGATGGTACTGCTGTAAATATTCATACATTTGAAAGTCTTGGTTGCAACTTTAACGGTACATATGATGAAATGCGGTCTTCATTTACCCATCCAACTACTGGCGAAGATGTGTTTGTAATTCTTGACCCTTGCCATATGTTAAAGCTTGCACGCAATGCACTGGCCCAACTTGGTTCTTTTAAGGATGGCAAGGAAAACATTATAAAGTGGAGTTACATAGAACAACTTCAAAACCTACAAATGGAAGAAGGATTAAACCTAACAAACAAACTTACGAGTAATCACCTTAACTTTCACAAACACAAAATGAATGTGCGACTTGCTGCACAAACATTGAGCTCCTCTGTGGCAAATGCTATTGAGTTTTTAGACAAATCCGCTAAACAACCAAATTTCTCTGGCAGTAATGGGACAGTGACATTTATTCGCATTATCGACCGACTTTTTGACATCCTTAATTCCCGGAATCCACTGGGTAAGGGTTTTAAGGCACCTCTTCGGCTTTCAAGTCAGGAAACATGGCAAGAAGTGTTATCATCATCAGCAGAATATTTACTATCATTAAAAACCAACACAGCTTCCTCTCAACCAATTTGTACATCTCAGCAAAACATTTGTAATTGGGTTTGTTACCTGCATCAAATCCACTATTTCAATGGCAACACAGATGCTCTCTTCATCCATCAATCCATTCAAGTATCTCTTAACCTACAAATATTCACAGGACCATATTGAACTCCTGTTTTCCTGCACAAGAGGTGGATGGAACAACAACCCCAACAGTCTCCAAATGAAGTATGCCCTTCAAAAATGTTGATGAGAAATGCCATTACTGCATCAAAAAATGCAAACTGTTTGGACTTTACTGGCTGCAACAACCTGATACCACTTTTTCGTACAAGAAAACATTCACCCACATTACATAATCAGTCACAAGAAACTGCTGCCCAAGACACTGACAATAAAATTAATGCAATGGTGCAACATCTCCAAGAAGGCAACAGCGAATTTATTTCGAACGTTATATTTTATATTGCAGGATACATAGTTTCGAAGTTAGTCAACAATTTATCTTGCCCAGAATGCAAACGATGCCTTTGTCCTTTACCAAAATCGTTATCCGTAGATGACCATGATTATACTGCCACAAAATATCATGAAGCTGGAAAAGCGTCAGCTTTCGTCAACTTCGTGAACAACGGTGGTTTACAGATTCCATCCACAGCGGTGTATCGTTGTATAGAGTTCTGCGAACACGTTTTCAAAGCAACGGTGACAGGCAACGACAATCAGCATATTAGTAACAGGGCAAAGTTGAAGAACAGTATGATTATTGCAGTTTGCCAACATTTTAATCTGGAATCGATCTTTCCTCTATTCAGGGATCACGAAGATGGTGTTAACGAGGCTGTTATCGAAGACGATCACAGCACTCAACTGACAAAGCATATCGCAGACAAATATTTCACACTGCGTCTTTTCAACTACGGTAAAAAATATACGAGGGAGATCGTAAATAAAGGCAAAACAAGCGACAGGCACCGACTCAATAAGCTAATCTTGTTTAACAATGAATAAATTTAATGTGTAAACACTTTATGAATACAATGAATAAACACTTACCCATTGGGATTTTACATTTGAAAGTTTTCGCCAATATCCGAGCACAATCCTTTGCCATCGGTAAGCCTTCTGGGTAAAAATTATTTGGTCGGCAAGAAACTTAAATTTCCTGTATTAATATCAAAAGAAAACGCAGCAAAACTAAATAAATTCAGTAATTTTCCTTTCTAAAGCTTGGCCAAAACATGTAGTTTATTCGTTCAGACTCTTTACTCACTCCTTCCAATCACGCATCGCGAGGCCGAACTCGCGTGATTTGACTACCAGAAACGCGTGTCTGGAGGGTCAGATCACGCAAAATTTTGGCTTCATTTCGTGTGTTACCGATATATCAGAAGGTAGCCTTCCAGTTATATTTAGTTCAATGTTTGGAACTGAGATTTTTAGCACCATGGAAACGTGACGTCACCACTTAAGGACTCTATTGTTCCAGTTTATATTACAGTTCAATGGTGTCCCCACAGTACCCATGAGCCCACGCGGCCAACTCAATAGAAATCCTCACTTCTTGACTTGTTCACTCGTTATTGTGTTCTTATTTCCTTGGAACTGGCAGAGTTGGCGAATATTTTAATTTTATAGTCGAAATGACCGCGTTTTTACCGTCAAATCTTTTGGCATTATTTGCTGCTAGACCTCCCATACCATATCTTCCGCCTCTGGATAAACTAGGTCATCAGAAAAAGCCTTGGCCGTACAGTGGAATTGCGAGTATCGTTGCTGACTTCGAGGTATTAAATACGTCGATAATTTAATGTTGCAATACATTTTAACACCTCTGTGGGTTTTGTTGTTGCGTTTTGAACACTAGAGGAATGAAAAATCAGATATCTCGATTTTGTTCACATGTGTTGAAGTATAGTCCATAGGATGCAAACCGCCTTATTTGACTATAAAATATTGGGTAGTTATCGCGTATTCTATACCGAAACAAACAATTCAGTAGTTTTGGCAATCGACCTGATATACAAAGATTTTTGAAAAACTTTGATGTTCACAGTTCAAGGGAAATATACGTATTAAAATTTTCCCTGCCTTGTTTGTTCTTGTGAAAACCACGTGATTGAAATGAAAAAATATTTAGGTTTATCAACATAATTTTTCAATAAAGTGCATGTGAAGCTTGTCAAGAATTTGATGTACTAGAAGTTAAATATGATGCAATATATTTTTCTTATTCCAAATATTTTATATCACCAAGTTGACAGCAAATACATATCTCATATGATTGGGTTTTCTGATTTTTTTAAAGTCATATAATAGCTATTGTTTATTGTACCTCATTGTTTTTAAATCAGTCATAAATCCAGATGATATAAGTAGACAGCTACATTAAGTTGAACTTAACAAGTTATTCTTATTCCCAATCTGTTTGAGTACACAGAATGTGAATTTTGATTTCATTTGTAAAGTAATTGAATGGAAAGGTCTAATTTAATCAATTGATGAACTTTCTTTTTCTATTGTGTTTAATTGGATTTGCTCGCTTTTATGATTTTAATAAGATTTTTTATACAAAGAAATGCTAACATATTAATGCTTTTAATTATACATATATTATTTTTCTAATGATTTTGGGAATTTTGGTTTTCATAATTTGAGAATTCAAGTAGAACTTTTATTTATTTAGAATAAAGTCAATAACATTTTTGAAATTTCAAGGTTATATGCACACACATTTCTTGCATTGAAAACTGCCCAAGCTCAGCAATTCTAGTGCTTAGCTCGAAGTGATAGATATATTTAGTTAAACCTTGTAGTTTTTTCTAATTTTCAAGTCTTGAATGAATGTGCAAAACTTTTGAGCAACATTAATCCCCAACTAAGAGACATTGATTTTCATATTCCTCAGCAACTGACATGTGATTGTGTATAAGGTACATTGCCAATTTGGTATCTATAAAAAACTGAATCACTTCAAAAGTTTGCAGGTGCTATCAGTAAAATCGACTCTACTTATTTTTCATAGGATCCTGAAGACACACCTCATCCAACTCGTGGAGAAACTAGAGTTAAAAAAATAGAAAGAAAGGTATGTTTTTGGTTTCAGGGTGGTAAATTTTAAGTTGGTACATCAAACCAGTCAAGTGAAATAGGTGAAAATTTGTGAAATTGCTAAGTTCCATATTTCAAAATCAAAGCAAACGTAGATTATCACTACCTACGATCAAAAAACATTTTCATACAAAATCTGATAATATTACGCATTACTGCAAGACTAATAGAGCAAGCATTACTTTGGTGTATTCAACAGCGAGGTCAGTAGTTTCTGTATGAATGTATGACCTGTCGGCAATCTTCAAAGCTCGAAAATATGTTTTCAATTGGCCAGTTATTGATTTTGACCAGTCTGCAGGCAGGCAACTTTAAGTGTGCTTTGACTGATCTGTAGGTTAGCTTGCAAACTTTCCTTTAATACAATTGGTCAACAAAAGAGCAAAGAAAACCGTCATTGGTCAATTTCTATTGACTGGTCTGTCAGGTCAAAAGTTGAAAATAAACACATCGCACTCAATACAAATCATTGTTCCAACTCAAAGTCTGTATTATAAGGATATTTTAGTGCACTAAATGAAAAAATGGTTGTAACAGCGCTTGAAAAACCTTATTCCGGATTTCAAAATATTTCTGCTTTTGGCCTATATGTACGAGGCACACTATCCCTAAAGAGCTGAATTCTAAATTGAGAATGTTAAAGCGGGTGCTGAGCTGATCACATTGTTGAATAGGAAATTATAAAAATGTAAATGCATTTCACTGCAATTTTAGAGCTGAAGTTTATATCCCTCTGGATTAAAAACAAAGATCAAATACACAGCTTTAATAGTACTCATTACATTTTTAATTTGTCATGAAAGCACAACGTTTTCTTTATAAAGTTTACTTTTCTCTGTAATATGTCTCTGCTAGTAATTAGACCTATTTGCATTTTATTTCAAGTGCTTAAAAGTCTTGAAGATGCAGAGTTTATCTTAAAATACATTTTCATTTTGAGTTATTTAAAATATTATGACTTATGATTTTTGAGATAGGGCAAAAGTTGTATTGAGCTTTGCTTACATTTCAGAAAAATTTGAACTTTAATTAGTATTATTATATTAATGTCAGTATCAAAATGGTATGAAGGGGGTAAGATAAAAGGCTGGATCCACCACTGTTCTCATCGTACAACTTTTTAAAGAAGTTCAATAAACTTGTGAGAGGATCAGTTGTCAGAATAAACAGTTGTTATTTTATAACATATATATATATATATATATCTAGTATACAATACATGATGGTGGTGGCTGATGGTAAAATATTTAACTAGAGCTGTAGCTTACATGTTGTATTTTTTGAAAATAGAAACGTGAAAGAATTGAGAAGAACAAAGAGGATTTGGAGAAAGCTGCAGAAGAATGTAAGTTGATCCTAAATTGTTATAAATGTTCTAAATTGTTTTATTTTATGTTGCAGGCTGTTGGTGAAGAGTAGTGATTAAATAAATGTTATGTGATGTTTACTTTGCACTTGAACTTAGCACCGAACCTTTAACATTGACAAAATGAAGTGCATTGTGAACATACCTGTATTTTTGTACCAATATAATTTAAAAAAAAAGCCTAACTATATTGCCTTTAAGTCAACTAAAACAGGAATAAGCTGTATTAATACCAAAATTTGTCAGGCCATGCAACAAAATCATTTGCCACTGACTCTTAACACTCCACGAAAGATGGACAAAGTCACTAGTGTTTTAGTGGTTTGTACTCCACTAAGAGGGGACAAAACTCAACATCATAAAAACTGTGAAATTTACGCGCTGTATATTTATTTTAATTATTTTAGGGGATCCTCACACTGATCCAAATGCAATCACGGATGCATTGAAAACTTTATTTGTTGGAAGACTGGTAAGCAATATTTTTTAGGAATAGGAGTTGAGCATTGCTTCGGGGCTGTTCATACGAGCCCAGCTAACTGGGATTCAGTGAGGCGTTAATTGATTTTGGCAAATGGAAACAATTCTATTCTTACATATCATTAGATAAATCTTCTAGAGCAACTTCACTATATTTTGATTTAATAAGTATGCAAAACATTTAAAATTGAAACAACCAGTTTGGCCTAATTTGAGAATTTCAACAGGAATGGCTTGTGGCACTTAGCAAACAGCTGTAATCTTTAAGCTTGAAGTTTTGCCCCTTTCAATGCCTCAAAATCAATTAACGCCTCGATGAATCCCGTGTAGCCGGGCTCATATGAACAGCCCCTTAATTAGATGAGTACATTGTTAATTGTTTTAATTATTCGTTATATGCATACCGTATGTAACCAGGTTTTTTTAGTTATTTACACCCACCATTACATGTATGTATAGTTAAGGTTATTATCGAGAGCTCACTATAACGGTCGGTCAACGGCAATGACCGCCCCAAAAAGCTTGTTGACCGGTTTGTTTACGTTACCGGTCATTTTGACCTACCTTATTTTTACGTCTTTCCAAGTACTCCAGTCGTGCGATGCATGGTAACAACTTTACAGCTTGAAACATCAACAGGAGAGTTTGTTTTCTCAAAAAATTATCTTTTCACCTTCTATGGTGCAAGTTGTGCCTAAAGTGAATGTTCGAACCAGGGAGTATTGTTACAAGGATCTTTATAGACTGTTGGTATTCCGATAAATTTGGCGGCATTCTTCTTCATAGCCAAACGTTGATTACTTCTAAAAGTTACTCCTTGCTTAACTCAGAAAATGACTCCTCACAGCTTGTCGGAATGTTAGCCTATTCAGACACCAACAATCGTTTTAAGGACTTCGCCAACTTGAACTTTGTCCTTCTCGTCTACAAACATGTTTACATAATTGCGTAAAAGCACCTTCGTTAATACTTGTTTAATGTAAAAGACGAGTTTTTTCCAAATAGACATGTTTAGATATCTCATTCATTTGCGGCTGTGGACGTTTCTGTCGTTGTTTTGAGACCTGGTATGTTTATGAATGTATCTGAAAGGTTTTATCTTGTTTAGAATTACGATACATCTGAAAAAAAACTGAAAAGAGAGATGGAGGTTTATGGTCCAATACAATCGGTCAGTGTACTTAAAGTGCCTATATCGTGTTTTTGCATTTCTGCCATTTAAATAGTTCAGAGTACTTTAAAAATTTTTGTAATATATTTTATAGTTCCAAAATATGATTTTGCTGGATATTTTCGCACTCCAAGTTGAAAAATTGACCATTTTCATTATTTGACCGCCAGAATAAAAAAACTGGCAACTAATGTTATTTTTGACGTCACATCGGGAATTCATCTGATGCATTTTGTTTAAAATTGGATGTATTTGAACATCCACGACACAAGATGTCATACACGTAGCAAATGCAACAATATAGCTATGCTTTTGAGGAAATTATGTGTAAAATACAGTGTTTTCTTAAAACGGGTTCCCGATATGACGTCAGATCTAGACATTCGCCCTAGTTTTTTTGATGTTAAGGTCAGGCAAATCATCACCGACTTTGAGCTCTAAAAAATGCCCGAAGATCAAATTTTCGATTTATAAAATATGGTCAACTTGTTTTTAGGACATGACGTTTTATAAGGAAGTATTTTGAAAGCAATAAGTTGTCTTCAAGGATAAGAACTTTGAGTGATTTTTATGATTGTCTGTAACTTCTCCACATGTAGATTCAAATGGTGACCAATTCTACCACAGGAAAACCTCGTGGTTATTGTTTTGTCGAGTTTGAACATGAAAGGGACATGCATAGTAAGTTCTACCATTACAAGTTCTACCATTTGTTTTGTAATTAACAATTTTAGTTCTTTAATGAGCGCAAAGTTTCGAAATCGTTTATTTTTCTAAATGACCGTGTTGTGGTAAGTTGTCTGTAATGGTAAGTCGTTGAACACAGCCTGGTTAGTACGATGTTGTTGTTGGAACAAAATTCGATTTTTTCATCACTTTTTTAATAATTTTCTCACTGCAATGCCATCGATATCTTCCACCATTTTTTTCCGGTGGTTTTTCCAACACTTTCAATTCCAATGCAATCAAAGTAATATGCTGCTATTATTAAATCATTGCAGTGCAAATACTGTCGATATTGCCAAGTGAATGGCAACAGACGATTGCTCGCTCCTATGCCATGGCTAGCACTACTTGATCATTTAAAATGTTTCATTTTAACTGGTGGGTATTTTGGTGGGTATAGGTTTGTATTACATTCGAATGCTTTTAAAACAAAGAAAATATTGTTTACTCAACAATATTTTGGCACTGCGTACAATGTGTTTAAAATGCACAAAGTGTAGCTTCACTTGACTTAAGTCCAAATCTAAGTAATGTTAAATCTCTCGTACTACAGCACTGTGTTGCGAAATAGAAAGTGATGTGATCAATTTCGATTAAATTTTGAAAGCTAAGCTTGTCTACTACAGTATAAGATTATGAAAAATTATACATTCGAATATACATAGGCGATGCTAGCTTTCTCTTTGACTTCAAAACTTCCTCCAAGTATTGAAATATCCCCTTGGAAAAGTCGTCCCCAATTTCACTCAATTCGAAGTGAATAATTGTTTTGAATGAATTAATGAAAAGTTTGGACAAGTTAATAAGAACTCTGAATCATGTTTGCGTAAGTATATGTGTTTTGTAAGTATGGAGTATTTGCCATTTTAATGTTGAGGTATTCCCCTTGTCTTCAGAAGCAATTTTTATTTTACCTATATCGGAATAATTACGACGGTGTTTTCGATAGGCGGCTCTTATATATTCTCCGTTTACCTGTGATTCGAAATAGTGTGAAATGACTTACAGGTTATGATATAAGTCAAGTAACGGCGCCATTTTATACAAATTTTATAAGCTTCGGTTTTGATCCCAAACAAATTATATTTTATACCATAAAAGTCAAGCATGTCAACAACGATCCAGCGTTCGTCAAAATAAATTGTACGTCGTCAAGTTTAAATTCAAAATATCTGCAGAACAACACAATTGGTAATGAATTTGTAAAGAATGAAATTTTACCCATCGACTGGCCTTTATGGTGTTTGGAAATATAAATATATCAAAAAATGGCTGCAGTTTTTTTTTGACGTGTAAGGAAATTACTAGTTGCTGAATGTGTACAGCAAAGTCGCTTTTTCACCACATTTTTGTGGGTAGCCCCTGCGCATGCGCGGCTCACAGACGATAACGTATATCACAATTATATTTCGCTCCAGTGTGCGGTACAAGCAACCTATATAATTAGTCGTTAGTATTATGTAGTGTCTGGTATTTAGTCCAGTTCGATATTATTTCCATTTCTTATACATTGCTTGGTTTACTCATACAGACATACAGTACTCTGTTGGTGAATTTAATCAAACGCAGAAAGCAAAGGAATTTATTTTGCTTTTGAATTTTGTACGAAATATAAATATTAGTGGAAATTTTCAATTTTAAATCGGGTGAAATATGATGAAGTGTCAAACTATAAACATGAAATAGAACATACCTGCGATCTCCTGCCATGTGCAAAGCGTTTACTTTCAAACATTATTTGCGTTTATTCGTTGGATTTATAAACTTTTCAAGATGTGATTAGGAAAAAGGAGAAATAAATAGCACGTCCCGTTGGCTAAATATTTAAGTGTCTAATGTCTTTATATATAAAATAATATCAAGTAGTGCGGATAGTACAATACTAGTGTCTATATATGAAGTCTAATTCATGTCATAAACCTGTTGATTTATCGGTTGTGTGAACGACATCTCAGACTCTTTTGAAAACTGTTTTGAAAGACTGCATTAGAAAAAGTGTTTTCGGTGGAAGAACACCTTTCGAAGTCGCGAGAGATCTAAATGACGTCACTTTCTTCGTGCGAGTCTCGTGAGCCCGGTCACGTGACATTAAGCTAAGCTACAGTCTCGAAAAAAGCAGAAAGAGTTAAATAAATATATGGGTCGTGTAACTATAAAACATTTCCAAATCGTGAACAAGTTTTATTTAAATAGTATTAAATATGCAATCTTTTTGAACTATATTCATTAAATCTACTTCATTTACTAGCCATGCGCTTGATAGGCTACCCACATGTACGCATTTCGTACCTATTTTTACCGTCCAGCCTACGTGATGCAAACCTCGAATGAAATAAATCATACAAAGCTGTTTCTCGATGTTTGCTACCAATATTTTTCACTACAGTAAGCAAATATGGGGTAAGGTTGATTGGTCGGTTTATCTTCAAGTGTTGTCGATTTCTGGTCTCGGTGTATCCACCTGCCTACTTATAAGCTTGTACAAGGCAGTTGTTTGGTTTTTTTGGTGTTTGTTTGAGTTAGTCTTTAGTTGTTTCGTACCATTGTAGCCGCTTATAAACATGCTGACGGAAAGAAGATTGACGGCAGGCGTATTGTCGTTGATGTAGAAAGAGGAAGAACAGTGAAGAACTGGAAACCTCGACGTTTAGGTAAACAAGATGGTGATTTTTGAAAAAAAATTATTTGTCAACGAGTGGAAGGAAACTGTCACTGCGAACAAAATGTAAAATAATTGGGGTATGAATCTAAGTTTTAGGAAATAATCAATCAATGTCAATCCTAAATTTTAGGAAGGATTTCAAGCCATAAGTAGGAACGTGTATTTTTAGTATCCTAAATTTTTATCTGTTAGCCCTGGGCTCATATAAGTTCGTGAGTTCTTTTTTATGGGCTAGAAAGGGAGGGCTGCTGCTACACACTTGGTATATTTCAATTTCATATTTTTTGTGCTATAAGTTACGTCTTTCTGACTTTCTATCAAGGTGGAGGGCTAGGTGGCACACGAAATGGTGCTCCTGAAGCAAACATAAAGCATTCTGGCCGCGCCGAAAAATTTGACAGGTATGATGAATGTTCGTTAGCTGTAAATGATTTGTCATAATCGTAATTCAGTTACTTGTTTTAGTGCTATTTTTATTGTGGTTTGAAAATTATTGTTCAGCAAAAGATTAATCCCATAGTTAACCATGATGTAACGTGATCAAGTGATTTTTTCCCCGCATTAAGGCCCGTTCACACTATCCAATTAGTCGGATCACAAAAAATGGATCGTGTGAGCACATACAAAGCGAGCTTTCGACAGTCGGATTCGTCAGTCTGAAAATTCGCCGATGTTACGGATGTTCTGTTTGTTTAAATTAATGTTCCAATTGTGTCGCAGAGAGTGCTTAAAAATTTCTTTTGTTTATGCGGGGCGACAAATGTAGTAACTGTCATTTAGATTTAAGATCTTAACTGTCGTTTAGACCTTAATTGCAAATTGCATCGATTTTTGAAGAATATTACCAAACCTTTACAATATACGAACAAGGGGGAGTTTCGTTCTGAGCCAATCATAGGTTAGTTTACGTTTTAAAAGTTAGCCAATCAGAACTCGCAAAACGCGAAAATGTAAACAAAAGGATTGAGAAATTTGCACTTTGTTTGAAGCCTGTGGTGAGCTACGTTTTAGAGTAAAATATAAAAAGCAAAGATGCATATAAAGCAACACTTTTTCTTCAAATTCCTCTTGGGCATTTTAAAATTGCGATCTAGAACGGCATTTATCGGCTGTTTAATAGCTACCATTTTACACTCGCGAAGTAGCATTGATTATGTGCTTGGTTTACGAAGGGTTCACCAGTCAGAGCGTATGTGGAACTTTTATTGTGGCGCAATTAGATTGCTCCAACTTTCCATTGCTCTTTGGATTTTGCAGTCTTTACTTCAGGCTGGTTTTTAAAGTTACTGGTCGGTTAATGAGGTTTTCTAAAGGAAAGAATTTTTTTAACCGTTAAAATTTTCACTTGACGCTTTTCAATGTTTGTACTATGCAATTATTATAAAAACCACGTGTTTCATTTCATTAAAATTTTAAGTAGACAAGTATTGACATTTGCATTTCAACATGTGCAACTTGTACGGAACCTTAGGAAAACTAAAAACTAGCAGTCCCGAATATTTTAAATTCAAGTTATATTATTGTCAAATATCCAGGTTTTGTCTGTGCAATCACAGTTTGTAGCATTTTTATTGGTGTTGAAAAACATTTGCACGAATGCTCGGGTTGGTATAAAGCGAAGTTCATTTTAATGACAATAAACATTTCATATGTCTCAAGACTTCACTTTTTACTCTGAAGCAATCTTCTGGAATGGAAAGACCCTGCCTACTCATGCCTGCATGTTGGATGAGACAGCGCCTAAAATTGACCTGAAAATGGATTTTACTATTTTTTTTAGGGATCGCGAGCGAGATGAACGTGATCGTGGTGGTAAATATCGTGACCGTTCAAGGCGTGATCGCGAACGAGACCGTGGCCGTGATAGAGATCGCGATAGACATGATCGTCGCCGAGAAAGGAATCGTGAGGTTCGGGATCGTGATGGTCGGGACCGTGAGTTTCGGGACCGTGAGTTTCGGGACCGTGAGGTTCGAGACCGTGAAGGTCGGGATCGGGATAAGAGACAGGTAAGTAAAGCAAAAAGTAAAGCGGATTTTGTTAGTGTAGTCGATGCAACTAGACCAACTTTAGCAATTGGTATAAAATAGAATTTTTAATACTTTTTTGCTAGCTTCAGATCATTAAACGACGTAGTAACGTAATTGAATTCAGTTTGCTGTTCGCAAAGTAACGGTGTAAACAAAAACGCGCATATAAACCAAAAACACGTTATAAACAAAAACGCACGCAAAGTAACGATAAAATAAAAAAAATAAAGCTTACTCCGAACAAAAAGTTCATTTTTAACTCAATATTTGGGAAGGAAACAAGACAATTTTTTATTTGAATAGTTATACTTTGAATTTGTTACAGGTTCATCGTCAAGACTATATTTACAAGAGAACCGACGTTCTACTGATATGAATGTTACATCATTCCAACAGAGCAATAAAAATAATTTTAGAAAGAAATTTTTCAATGACTGATTCATCTTCAATCACAGTGACATACATGTTAGTTGATGTTCTATATAAAGAATTAACACTCTTGAAACCCACGATCATTATGCTACTTTACACATTCAGCCCTATACAGTAACACAATAATAAAAGGAGACATAAATATTAATATGTATGCCTTACCGTTCACGCTTTCTGTGATCGTCCAACCATTGTCATCAAACCCCAAAACTCCCATGATGGTGTGGATAAAGCTGGAGCTCCTGATTTTATGGCAGCATCGTTTTTCTTTTTGTATCTGACGTATACATCTCTAAGGTTTTTCATTTTGGCCTTGAGCTCCTCAACTGATAAAATTGATAAAACAATATGCTCAATATGTCAAACAATCCTAATTTCAACAGACAACATTTCTTATCACCGCATCACTGAAAAATATCAAAGATAAATAAATTGCTCCTTACCTGTTCCTGTAACCCAACAGCTCTCAGATCGTCTAGAATTTGATGCCACGCATTCACTATCATCGGTTCATTTTTAAAATTTTTGTCTGCAAGATCAAATAATACAGGAAAAGTTGTGAAAAGAATTTATTAGCGCTTCTTAACCAGCCATCTTTGTTCACGTAAACTTCATAAATTGACATTTTGAGTTAGGAAACAATCAATCACATGAAAGCGACTTAGCCGACCAAGGTCAAAAGTTGAACATGCTAAACTTCCAAAGCTGCTAGACTCGCGACTAAAATTACTAACTTAGTGACCGCGCAATTTTGTAGTTTTAGTCGCGCGACTAAAGCGACTGCACAGTGTGTTTCGGCCTTAACTGAATTTAAAAAATCTATCATTTCCGATTTAATTGATTCCGGCACAATAAAATAGAAGATATGTAGATGACACTCTGTTACTTTCCAACATCCCGGCTTTATTAAAACTATTTTAACAAATTTTATAAAAACGTCATATTCTCTGTTGATACGGAGGGTACAGTTCATTTTCTAGACATTAAAATATCAGTTGATGGCAGAAAATTATTTATAATTGTCTTTAAAAAAAATTCGTAAATGTCTTATTAAAATAGGTCAATTTATTATTATTTTTGACAACGAAAACGTCGCTTTTTTCACTATAACAAAGAAAACATCTGCTCCCTCACTCGTTTCGATCTCGTATATCAAATTAATTGCCCAGGCTGTAACAAATTCTACATTCGTATAATAAAAAGTAATGCCCAACATAAAGTTTTAATTAAAGCCGTTGAAACATTTTTTTTTATTTTTAAGTAAAGTTAGGCAAAAATATCATTTTCTGAAAGGCGTGGGTGATAGAAAATGACAAAAAGAAAATTTTTTTCACAAACTCGTTAATTAGCCTAATTATCCTAGATGGCGGCTGCTAATTAAGACTTAATTGTTTCCATTGTAAACATGATAACTCAAGAACCAGTGGTTAAAACAAAATAAAACATATATTTTTGAAAAGCTTAGAACCTGCTCTATTATGTGACACTCTGTAATTTTCATTTAATATCTTAAATAAAATTTTAGAGTGAAATTTAGAACTTTTTCAATTATTGCACATTTTTATTGCAAACATTTGAAAGAAATTTGGCTTTAATTCATTAAATATTAACAGCATTAAAAATTCAAGAGTGTCACATAATAGAGCATAATATAGCTAGTAAGTATGCCAAATATCAAGCCTCTGCATCAAATATTTACAAATTTATAGTGTCACAAAAATCACTGACTATTGTGAAAATGAGAAAATCCAATATAAAGTTTCATTCCAGTTCATCTACAACTTTGAAGGCTTAGAAGCTACCTGCTTCATAAGTTACCCCTTCCAAGTCTTCAGCATTGTCCAGAAACTTCTTTCTAAGATGCCTCAGTGACTTCCTCCTACTTTTCACTTACTTGGAATTCTTTTGGACTGATAACTTTATCCTGGCTTTGTCGGAGTCTTGCGCACCTTTGGTCGTAAATACCCCAAGCATTATGTCTAAATCATGAAAAATGTTAATATAGGAGATCTATGTCTCCACCATTAAACTTCAACACTGCCAAATATGTCGCTAAGGAGACAGTTTCTTGCTCAACATATGTAGTCTTGGGAGATCTGTCCCAAATGAGTCCATTCAAACACTCGTTCGGATTCTGTGTCAATCCATGTGTACATTTCTTCAACAAATCTGGGTCAGTTAGATCATTGAATATTGGCTCAATCAGTTCTACTATGGGCCCAGGAATACCAGTCTTGTGTTGGTAGGTGGTGTGATCTCTTAGGTAGCCACACCAACTATCTTTTCCTTTTGGACACAGGTGATGCTGAGGATTCTTCTCTGAGGAGGCAACATGGAAAAGAGATGCCCTAGCAGCTTTGGCCATTTCTTTAACACTATTAAGGTTTCCCCTTATTGCCAAACCATAATAGTTTCGAAGAATGTCCATCTTTTGCGTAGTTAGCCGACCTTTTCCAGAAAAACCTTTACCATCCGAGAGTTTTCTCCCTTTGTTCGAGGTTTTTAGTTTCCGCAGTCTGCTTCCGAATGTGAGTTCATTGCTTTCCCACAGTCCGGACATTTCAGAATCTCATTTAAGACTATAAATATAACTGATAAGTCCATAAATATAGTACCTTCTGTTATAATGTTGGAATGGACAGCAAAATTTGCTGTCTGATTACCAATTTTCGCAGCGGAAGATCCGACCTCTTTGTCACAAGGTTCGCCATTTTTGCATTTCTTTGCCATTTTTTCTCACCCGTTTTCTACCTCTATTTTGAGGATTTCCCATCATTTAACTTCAAATCCCCCAACAAAATAACAAAAACAATAGTTGGGAAATAAAAGCAGCAAATTTAGCAGTTCAAATGTTACAAAAACACTAAGAAATTTGTAGACAACTTCGCCAGAAATGCAAACGCATCGATCTCGAGACCACTGATCTGATAATAGACTGGATATAGCTTCTACAGGTAGCAAAAGTGAAGCCTAATTATATATGCAAAATTCACTTCCGGTTACCACGGCGAGATACAAATTACTATAGAAATGTATGGCGGATAACGTTTACAAACATGGATTTTCGAATATTTAAGACCTTTTGCGACTCCTTACTAACCTCAAGTATTACTCATGGATAAAACAGGTTATGCGAATCGATTTGACATCAAAATGATTCCGATAGCTGTAAAATATCGACGTTAGTGGTGATTTAAAAGTTGTACATGCGAGAATGTATTTTGTCCCATCGTTGCCAATGCAAGATAGTTCACTGCTCGCTTTCCAATTTCTTAGGCAGTTATGATCTAGTATACGTTTCAGTTCTTTAGAAATGAGGTGAGTTACTTTTTTTATCATTCTTTCTTTATGTTGAGAGATTGTTGACATTTTATTTTTGCTGTAACTTCATTTTTTCATGAGCAAAGTACTACTGATGCTTAAACAAGACAAGTCTATTTAGTTTCTTTTGCACTTTATCTTTAGTTTCCATTTCTGTGGTTGTTTTTCCCAAATGGTATAGTCGCACTTTGCGCTTAATTATTCAGAAAAGTATGATTTTCATTGACATTAAAATCTAACAAATGCGTTCTAGACACATTAGGACACTTTAGTAAACTGCTTTTGAAACATCAAGGTAATGTAGCCAGCCAGGTATGAATTTGCAGGCCCTCTTTATAATCATCTTGGTTTTTGTTTGTCCCTTAAGTTAATTTAAATTATCAACAGCAACATATGACTGTGTCCACGGTTTATAATTATAAGTGTGTCCAATTGTATCCAGTATATCAGTTTCACATTGTCTTGTGCTAATTCCTTTACAGCCATGAATACTGCTTCTCACCAACAGTTTATTGTCTATAGCTGTAAATTGGTCAACTGTTGGATTGTTGAAGTCACACTTTACAAGTGGAATAAAGCTCTTGTCTTTCTTATTACTACAAGACTCAAGACTGATGATCAAACTGTTGCTGAAAGGGATTGTAATGTCAACTGCAATTCATATTCATACCATCCCTAACTACATTCATATCTTAAGAATAATTTTAATGTTTTGGGAAAAATATTTAAGGCATAAATATTATATTCATACTAACTTCTGGAGTTTGCTTAGCACTTAGAAGAGGAAAATAAAATTTAGAACAAAAAATGAGATTTTAATTTATATTATTTCTGAGTATAAGAACATTATTTTTGAGACCAGGGTGAAAAAGGCACTGATCTGATAATAGATCAGATCATAGTACATGGCTGGCTATGTTGCCCAGATGGTGCAAAAGAAAATAAACTGTCCTGTTTGTCATGAAGCAGTCGGTTCAAGAAACTACAAAAATGAGTCTGCTTTCCTGACTTTAAAAGACAGGGGTAATTTGTTTAAGCCAACAGCAAGTGTAATTGTAATATGCAATGAAACAGAGAGGTGCTTTCAGAGAATGTTGGCAGCTACAGATGGAAATTTACCGCAAGGGAAAGGAATTCCTGATGCTATTGCTTTGTCTGTAGTAAATGGTATAGATTTGAGGACCACATTCAAGGATCTCGATGCACACATGTTGGATACTACTGTTCACGAAAATCATATTTACTCATTAATTAAGACCATATCTAAATGCTACAGCAAGGTGCGATTGTACCATTTGGGAAAAACAACCACAGAAATGGAAACTAAAGATAAAGTGCGAAAGAAACTAAATAGACTTGTCTTGTTTAAGCATCAGTAGTACTTTGCTCATGAAAAAATGAAGTTACAGCAAAAATAAAATGTCAACAATCTCTCAACATAAAGAAAGAATGATAAAAAAAGTAACTGACCTCATTTTAAAGAACTGAAACGTATACTAGATCATAACTGCCTCAGAAATTGGAAAACGAGCAGTGAACTATCTTGCATTGGCAACGATGGGACAAAATACATTCTCGCATGTACAACTTTTAAATCACTACTAACGTCGATATTTTACAGCTATCGGAATCATTTTGATGTCAAATCGATTCGCATTACCTGTTTTATCCATGACTAATACTTGAGGTTAGTAAGGAGTCGCGAAAGGTCTTAAATATTCGAAAATCCATGTTTGTAAACGTTATCCGTCATACATTTCTATAGTAATTTGTATCTCGCCGTGGTAACCGGAAGTGAATTCTGCATATATAATTAGGCTTCACTTTTGCTACCTGTAGAAGCTATATCCAGTCTATTATCAGATCAGTGTTTACATTGCATAAATGTCATCGGGAAAAGTATTGTCAAATTACCGTCTGTTGTATATACTTTTCATATAATGACGTCATGTTTGTTCGTGAAATGGACTTCTTTTATTCCTCGGATGTTTTGATAAAGACAGCACTCGATTCGGAACTGAACTCAGGCGAGTGTCACCTGTTCCTTCGCTTGACGTGATATGATTCTCAAAAATGTACATTCACTTATTTGAGTGATAAGTCCCTGTCTACACCAATCAGGATAAATCCGAAAACGCAAAAATAATTTTACGGATATACGTTCCATCCACACATATCCATTTAAAACACCCACACAAACCGTAAACTTTAGATAACGCCTTCCAGAGTGCAACTTTTTGAAAACTGAACAAAATTAGTCTCGTGCGGAAGAATAAAACCTTAAAAATATAAAAATTATGACGTATTAACTATGAACCTGTTTGGTGTTCGCCATTTTCGTTTTTAAACATGGCGGAAGCGCGAAAGGTTGTTGTGCGTCCGGCTTTATATTACGATCTTGAATTCTCACGCAGATTACATTCAGGGTCGTATGAATATTATTCTCCAGCTGTGTTACCTTGTACGGGAAGGGTAATTGTCAAGCGGTTCGGCAAGAAGCGTCAAAGGAGAAAGCGAAAATTTTAGATCCGACATGGACGAATAATGCTTGGTGTAACGGTTTCCCGTTAGTGAACTAGTTGTCCCAGAAGAATGGAGGAAAAATTTCTTAACAGTTTTCTCTAAATCCTTATCTGCAATCCGCTTCAGCTCCTCTTCAGCAGTTACTCTAAACAATCTTCTTCTCTTAGTGTACTCTCACCAACTCTAAGCAGACTACTAATATTTGTCGAAAGAAAGGAAAGTTCTCTTAAAAATTCTATTTGGTCTTTTTCATGGACATATAGTCTGGAGGCCATTCTTAAAAAAACGTTTAATTGACATTTATAGTGAAAGCAGGAAACAGAGCTTAAAAATAACCGACTTGTGGTTCTTTTTAAGGATATCACTGTTTCAAGCTTCTTATATGATCTCTAAACGTGTTAAGGAGGCTTTGATTCTGGTATTTCGTTTCTACCACGTGATAACAAGGCTAAGAGGAAAAAACCTATTAAAATTCTTGAAAATTAAAGTTTTTAGGGCAGTGTCAATGCAATTGTAACTATTCAGAGTGTGAAAGTATTTACATCTGCCCCATGAAAGCTACGGGATTTTCACTTTGCTTGCAAGACTGATCACGTGACTATAAAAGATTTGCTCGATACTTGCTTTGCTTTGCCAATTTTCACATTCCGAAAACAATTCTTAGTCTAGAATAATGCTATATTTTTCACAAATAGTTAAAATGTACAAAAAGAAATATGTCTTTAGACTTTTTTTTGTAATTGAAATACATTGCGTATGCAAAATAAAATTAATTTGCAATAGTGACGCCTGTCTGTTGTCGAAAACTTCACAAAAATTCTTACAGCTATTTAGAGGCCGTGGAAGGTTCTTAATTGAGGGTTGGAATTGTTCATACATGCTTGTTATACTTAAGTAGCTTCTATGGAAATCAGTTGCTCTTATGGATTAACGGAGATTAGAACATAACATATAAATATTGCTACAACACCACCGACCACACCCCCAATTATCAGACCTGCGCGGCCACTTCTATTGTGTTCTTAAAAATACATTCAAAAATATATTTATGTGTTTGTCAATATAGTTCACCCAGGTAGATTCCTAAAATCGGATTGTTGAAATTGATGTTGACTCACGTTTTGACAACCTTAGACATCGGTAGACATCTTCAAAGTCAAATGAGGAGTAACTATATAATAAAGTAGCCTGATGATTTCGAGGAATTGAAAGGAGCTAAAAATCAAAGCTTAAAAAGTACAACTGTTTACAAAGCGCCACACGTCATTCCTGCTGTAAGCCTCAAATAAGAGCAAACTGGTTGTTTTAATTTTAAATGTTTTGCTTACTTATTAAATCAAAATATTGTGAAATTACTTGAGAAGATTTATCTGATGATGAGTATTGAATATTTTCCATTTGCCAAAATCATTTAACGCTTGGCCTCTACAAGCTTTGCCGTATCAAGCATTATAAAAGAAGCACAATAAAACGTATGCTTTGATTGGTTAATAGCCATGTTTGCAACAAACCGTTCTGCAATCAATCAATCAAATCGATCTGTCAATCAAAGAGAATTTTCACATAAATTATGAATACATTTTAAAGTAACATTAAAACCTTATTAATCTGTATGTTTGCATGCTTGCCTATATGACTTGACTCTTCTTGTTTAAGAATGCATACTTATTTTAAAGAAATTAAAATATTTATATTTCTTATTATTTATCAGGATGCACGGTTACACATTGTATGGTTTGTTATGTATAGAGTCACCAGAGTGCTCAATCCTGTAACGCTGAGCTATATAAATATATTAGTTAGAAGAATAAAAAGAAGTTTTTGGAGTAATTATTATTGCCGTGATATACTGAAGCCATATTGGATTTGTTAATTTTTACTGTGTTGTTATTTATAATCACATCCGCACTCAATACTGTTTGTACGTGTAACTTCTGATCACAGGACTCTAGTGTTGTCATGAAGTGATTAAGTAATTAAAGTATACAAATTCAAAATATTTCTGTTTTATGTGAAATATTTGAAGCATAAAACTTTGGTAAGTTTTGCTTCAGTTCTTTAAATAGTGCATGTAATATAATAAGATTACGTCATTTGATCTATAAAAGATTATATATGTGATCTCATGGTTATTTTCCTTTATCATAAAACACCTTTTACAAGTATACTAAATTCGGTACTTCTGATTGTAATGCTCGATTCGAATCAAGTGACCACTCGGTAAAAAATTGACACTGCGATATTTAATATCGTGTTAATAATTCAATGCATCCAAATTTACATTTAAAAACTTCACAATGTGATTCATTTGTGTTAAAAGTTTGTGAAAAGTGTCATGGTAAGGGATGAATAACGCCTTATTTAACCAAAACACAAAAATATCTTAGGAAACTATGCTCTACTAACTGCCGTTTCGACAAAATTGAAGAGGTATAATTACAAGAGAGTATAAGTAGCGTAGCGCCAATCATGTGTAGTAAGTTCAAGAACTAACGGCTCAAGATTGTTTGACGGTCACTGCTTTAATTTGCATAAATTAGCCTTCATCAAAATTTATTGTCACGAAAAATCTCGTAAGCAATCATGACGTAACCTAAAAATTTGGCGGCATTGAAGTTAAACATCATCTTTTTGATACTTTTAGTGACATCTTTGAGAGACTAAATGAACAAACCAATCATGCATTAACTATTAGTTTAAGGAAGTCTAGTTGTTATAAGCTTCTAACCTCGCAAATAAAATACACATAAATTTTAAAAGTCTCTACTATGCGCAAATTATGAATTTAAATTCAAAATTAGAAATTTAATGAAGAAAACGTAATTTAGGGAAGAAAAATATCATATTTTGCTTTAAAAACACAAGAGAAAAGTTTGCTTTCAAATTGTGTTTATATAAATAGTTATTTTATTTAAGAAAACTCCTAATACTTGTGATGTGTTAGCAAAAACAAAATACTTAAAAACTCCATCAATTATGCATTTATCAATTAAACTCTTAACAATTGTCTCTTGTTAATTATAAATTTATGAGCAAAGCACTAAATGTGAAACATAAATAATTAAATACTTGCAGGTAAGTGAAGCATTATATACAAAAGCATATGTTTAAATAAAACCCTCTGAACCAGATTTGGCAGACATCAAATTGCGAACAAAGACACAAGAGAAGTAACTGTACGTTAATACAATACATCAATTGTACTCAGGTAAAATTGTCAAAACAGTATATTTTAGTAGGCTAGTACCTTTATACTGTGTGAATGTTTAAGGATATATTGATGCCATTCATGGAAAATTTTTTGTTTCTTTTTGCAAGAAAAAGCAGAAGCAGTTGACTAGTTCTTTTAAGTCACAATTTATTTAGTAAACTTTTCGTTTTATCATTACATGTATATCAGACTGGAGTTCTTTTTCATCATTTTTATCTTTCTATCTGGTAAATAGTTTTCTGTTTCAACAGATGCTGCAATTTCGTTCACGAAAACATTCTGTCAATGATCACGTCACTAAGTGCAGCTAAAGTTAAATGCTAATAAGAGATATTTGTTAAGCGATATTTGGAATATTTGCTAAGTTTCTGAAAAAATTAGATTTAACTTTCTGAAAAAATATATAAAAAAAATTAATAAAAATTGACTCAAGAAAATTACATTGATAAGACTTGTTCAATAAAACATTAACACAACACTTGCTGATACAATGTTATGAAATGTATTATTGCTTTATTGCTAGATCTTTTTGATGTCCTTTACTGTGTAAACAAAATATATTAAGAAAAGTGAACTTGTGCACGTATAACTATCACGTATAACGTGCATCTATTCACAATTTTCGACCCATTAATTTTCAACTAGTTAATACAAATATTTTAAATATTTAAATAAAATAAATTGGTTGCAAAACATTCACGGAGCAACTTTTATTAAGAAAAACTTAATTTGTATTTGCTTTTAAAAGTAGCTAGGCTGTGAGTTTTTATATTTTTTCAGAAAGTTAAATATTTAAAAAAAATCTTATGCATGCTGATCCAAATTCATTACAACTTTTTTAACTCTCTTTTTATTAATATTGAATAACAGTGAGATCGTTAAAATGCTTCTGACATATATGGCAAACTTTATTGAAATATAAATAACACTGCACAAAATGAACAAAAGCTTTAGAAAGTTTAGGCTGCATAGCATCTTTTACCGCATTTGAAGTTTAATTTTTTATACAAAAAGTAGGAGCATGGCCTTAAATATTGAGAAATATTGAGCAGCCTTCATGGAGAAAGGGACGTTTGAAAATGAAAACTATTCAATGGGAAAAATTAATAAAAATTGACTCAAGAAAATTATATTGATGAGACTTCACACAAACACCAACATTAACACAACACTTAACTGCAGGTGGAAGAGACAACATGCAGATGTTATGAAATGTATTATTGCATTATTGCTAGATATTCTATAAAAGTGAACTCGTGAACATATAACTATCTAAACAAAATGTAAGACAAGTAAGCAATTCATTTTGACGAATATTGCCTTGCTATAAAAGGAGTTTTATTATCTCATTAAACTTCACTAAACATCAGAGTCGCCAACTGTATGGAAGATTCGACAACTCTGCAAAAGTAAAAAATAAATCATAGAGTTAACAGGTGTGTAAGAATGACAGATTTGCTGTGGATATAATAAATTCCCTAACTTTAATATTTTAATTTTTGTAACTTCGTTGTCACGTCCATGCAACAAATCAAAAAATATCCATGATATTATTATTATGTTGCTTGAAAACATGTAAATCATATAGCAAAAAATTGTTTAAGCAACTATAATCTTACTTATCACAATTATATAAAACTTAACTTTAATAATAAGTTAACTTTATAATACATCATAAAGTTAACTTAACATTGGCAGGTGTGTAAGAATGGAAGATTTCTGTACATATAACAAATTCCCTAACTTTAATATTTTAATTTTTGTAACTTTGTTGTTACGTCCATGCAACAAGTCAAAAAATATCCATGATATTATTATTATGTTGCTTGAAAACATGTAAATCAAATAGCGAAAAATTAATTATGCAACTATAATCTTACTTATTTTAACGATCTAATACTTTTACATGTTTATCTTTAGGCAAAAGTTTACGTAATTATGCTCAGTTGGATTGCGGTGATCCAACTTTTGTATTTCTTTCCCATTTGCTCCAGCAACAACATCGTGGAAATCAAAGGTCATCTAGCAAGAATGCATTCTAATTACATTATAAGAAACATTAGTAGTTCCAATATTCACCATTGTCTGCATAACTGTATGGAAAACTGCTCGTGTTTATCATTTCAAATTTGTGGTACAGTTTGTCAACTACTTTCCACTACAATAACTGAAGGTTCATTAGAAGAAGATGGAATTAGTGAATGTAATCATTTCACAATGCATATATCTGACATCAAGGTGAGTTTATAATAGTTGAAGATTCAACAAAAATGGAAAATCTTCATTATATTATATTAAAAGTCTTAAATTTCTCTGTGTAGTAAAATACTTATTCACTTAGCATGATTTGTTTATACAACGTCTTCATACTGAAAAACATATGAAACTTACATTGTGAATAAATTACTAAATTTATTGGTTGCAGATAAAAGCAATATTGTTATTTATAATTTATCGTAAGCGCTGTTTCTGGAGACAATGAATATACCACAAAGAGGGAATTGCATCGTGATGAGTGCAATTTTGCATTGTCTCCTTGGCTAGGCCAACAATAGCCCCCATAGAAAAAATGTTTTATGGACTGCGGTGTTTAAAATTTAATGAAGATATGATCTTCGCACTTTGCTGGACAATTTAAGCTATTGTCTCATGAACCTGAAAAATGAAATTATGAGCCCAACAAAATTGACCTGCCCACCACTGTGTGACTACATAGCTCAGTTGGTCAGAGCATTGCACCGGCACCGCAGAGGTTACGGCTTCGAATCCCGTTGAGTCACCTGAATTTTTCAGGTTCATGAGACAAATGCTTAAATTATCCAGGAAAGAACGAAAATCATATTTTCATTTAATAGCTCATGTAAGTTATAATATGCATCATATGCGCTGATAAGCTAGAAAGAAAGCTCTCAAGATGACAATTCTTTCAGTCTTTAGTAAGTGAAATTTGGATGGACTTTTATTAAAGTACATCAGAATAAAACTTGTAAACAGTCGTAAACAGGAAGTACATTGCTCAAGATATAATTTGGTGGTAAGCTTGTTTTTTCAGCTATAAAAATCGAAATTTATCGAGCAATGAACTAAACGATACACCGTCGTCAAAGACTTTTTTAATATCTTTACAAAAAACCACTCTATTAGCGAAGGATTTAAAACAAAAAGTATAAGAAATTTCATGAATGTCAAGGTGGAAATTTTCAGATATATTGTTAAAAATCTGATCCTAAATAATTTTTTGTTACATGACATTCAATTTTTTCGCGTTAGTAGACCCTGCACCGCGATAATTAAGAATAGATGTGGTGGAAAAACATTCATATAAATGTATGAGTTAACAAACGATATTAATAGCGCTTTAGTGATTTATCATCTTTAAATCAATAAGCTACAACTTAAACACTGAAGTGCTATTACAAAATCAGCAATTACAAAATAAAATCCTTTCCCTCCTTTTTCTTGCAAAACAACGAAATCTTGCCGATGATGAATTTGTTATTTGAACTTTAGCACTTTGGCATTATAGCAGGGTAGTGTTAACTAAAATTTACTCTTTTAAGTCATGTTTCTACGAAAGTTATTATTGTCACCTTAACCAATTCTATAGCAGAATCATCATGAAAACAGCAATATCTTTTATAGCATGTTTCGACTAAAGTTATTATAGTCATCTTTAGAGCAATAAGCTACAACATGTGGAGTAGAACTCCGCAAGGACAAAGAGTGAAAGAGTTTTATTTTGGCTTATTCGTTTACTTCTTAAATCGGTTATAGCATTTCCGTTGCGTTTACTTTTTGTTTTGCATGCATGTCGCTTTATAATCCTTTTTCAGGATTGACTTTTTCTTCATCCGCTCATTACTTATGGCATCAAAATTAAATTCATTATTTGTTTATTGCTTTTTGTCACTAAGTTATTCACATTAGATTTCTTTTTCAAGAAAAGTCAAAGTTGCTGCAAAGAAACCTGCCAAACAATAATTGATTGTTGTCGAACGTCCAGTCATTGTAATAATAGAGGAAAATGTGAACTCAGTAAGCCATCAAGTAGAAGACGAGCTTCATGTAACTGTGATGAAGGATATGTTGGAGATCGTTGTCAAACTATGGCAAGATCGTGCAGAAGTTATCGTGGTCAACAAAACGGACAATATAAAATATTTACTTCTGACGAGCAATTAATTTCAGTTTACTGTCATTTTGATGGGCATCGCGCATGGACACTTGTCCAATCATTTAGTTTGGAAAATTCAATATACTACAAAAATAAAGTTTACTACAAAAATTTCCCCAGAAACGTAGCAAGCCCATGTTGGAAAGACTACAGACTTTCTTTGGAGACGATGATTGGCATAAAAGAAGACAAAAATGAAAGATGGCGCATAACTTGCAATTACACAAGCATTAGTTGGAATGTTGGGGATCGTCTTGAGGCAACGCATAAAAACATTGAATTACTGGAGGAAAAAAAGTCAAAGCATTATGGTAACTGTGTTCTCGCGGAATATGTTGAAATTCGTGGAGCTTCGTGCAGCCGTTGCAACATCAGCATTTTTCAAAAGGAAAGCTGGATTCTTCATATTGATTCAACAAAAACTTCTTGTGGTCGGACTTGGAATGGAATTCCATGTCATAATGGATCTGGTGAGGACAATTTTGGTTTTTACGGTTGCGTAAATCCTAAACATAATTGCACATCGTCGAACAAAGCCACCACACAATTGTGGTTTGGCAATGAATGATATATGCATGAAACTGTAAGTTCTTGTATATACAATGTCCAATTTGGCAAGTATTAGCACAGAAATTTACGAAGAGATCATAGAATGTTTTCAGCTATTCCTTTAAAATCTTTACATTTTTATAAGTTAGTTAAGCATGAAGAAATTAAGTTATTTATATAAATAAATTTTTGACGTCTTTTGATTCATATATTCGGTACTCCGCCCAATCAATTTTGTGAATGGCAATCAAAAAGATTTGTAGAAAATAACAGTTGTATTTAAGTAAAACTTTTTTTCTTTGTAGTAACATTTCAGACTTAATTATAAATAACATCTTAGCTTGTAACACACGTAAAACATAATTTTAATAGCTACTGTACGTAATTAAAAAGATTATTGCAAAAACGTAAGTAAAATATGAAGCGCAATAGACTTGTATGTAGATTACCACTGCTATCGACTTAAAATACTTTCACTTGTTTCTTTTTTGCAATCTTTCTCAGTTTATCACAGTACTGTGCTCTATGCAGACTCTCCGAATTGTTATAAATTTGGAAGCTATGTTGCCAAAAGATTGTAATGCCATCTTGAACTCTTATTCAAATTTCATTTCTGTCAATCTTGGCAAATCAAAGAGATAGTTAACAAATTGTAGCATATTGCTGCGTCAGCCAACTTTAACTGACGTGATTGGAATTGAATATAGAACTCAATGATCCTCTCTGTGTATGGAAACTAAAAGCCACTCGATGATACCGTTGTTGTAATGTTGAAGAGTTGAAGTTTGATTGTTTACTTTGAACTGGTTTTTACGGTCTCCAGGATCCAATGACGATGATGTTAAGTCTCTTCTTATGACTAGACTAGCAATTTTATGCATTACTAACCAATCGTTATCATCTTCATCATTATCACTGTTATAACCCCAATTATTTGCTGTAGTTTATTTTTCTTTCTGCTGAGCATTAGGATCATTTATCTTTACTCCCCTCGTACATTCTTCTTCAATCTCATGTTATCGTATTATGAAGAGTTTTGTCCAGGGCCTTTTTGTTGTGAATTTTGTCAGTGGGAAAGGGTAAGCGGATTGGCAAAATGGGTCGAGTGTAATGACGGGCTAGGACAATATATGTATTTCTATATAATACATGTACTATAAGATGTATAGAAATATTCATACTAAAATTATTTAAGATATTAATTATTCCCATTGTTGTCTTATTCCATATAATACAAACAAAACAAACAATCTTGATTGAAAAAGCTCTAGAGCTAACAAGTTTACAATATTTTACAATAAATGTTTTTTTTGTTGTGAGGGCTGCTTCAAAAACGTCTTAAAATATAATCCTTTTATTTGTACGTGCTGACAGTTGGCAAATTCATTCTTCAGTCTTTAGTAAGCAAGAATTTCTGAACAACAGGCCGTTGATCGTAATGATGTGAGGCGATATCCCACAAAAAGCTGTCTAGAATTCTGTAACTGGTTGCTAGGTCCCTACCTTAACAGAAAGAAATGCCGAACACCATAACTTGGAGGGATATTTCATCTGCAGTTTTCATTGAATCAAAACTTTCAAACACTGTATTTAGAAACTTTTCTGTCAGTTATATTACAAGACGCTAGTAGGAAAAGAGATGCATTAAGAGAACTCAACTGCAATGTTGGCTTTTGTTATGTTGATTACATATTTCATAACTTCATTTTGTTTAGCGTTGACTCGAGACTAAAACACAAAGATGGGGAAAAGCTCATTTAGATACGAATGAGTGTCTATCCTCGGAAAATGAAGTTAATAATTACTGTAGTTTTCAAATATTCTTTGCCCAATTTCCATCTTGAACGTTAAGTGAATTACTTGCATTTTCTATACTAAATGTGGATAATGAACAGGAACTTTCCTCAAACATGTTCGATTACTTTTTTAAATAGATTGGTAAATTTTGAAACGGTATCTTTGTTTCATATTTTGAGGAAGCGTTGCAACTCCTATCCATGCCAAAATGTTATCGTCAACATGATTTACGCTTCTGTTTGAACGAAGAAAACATCGTTTAACAAACACTTGAACACCAGAAATGTGTTATGCTGTTTAATCAACTGCTAACAAAGTTAATAAACATGACGAAACATGTTTTTTAAACAACACGAAATGAAGTGGCTTAACAGAAAAATTTTTTAACAAAAAGTGTTTTAAATATTTTGTGCGATTAAACATTTACCGTTTGATCAGGAATTTACATTGCATAAATGTCATCCGGAAAAGAAATTGTCAAATTAACGTCTGTTGTATATACTTTTCAGATAATGACGTCATGTTTGTTGGTGAGTTGGACTTCTTTTATTTCTCGGATGTCTTGTTAAAGACAGCACTCGATTCGGAACTGAACTCAGGCGAGTGTCACATGTTCCTTCGCTTGACGTGATATGATTCTCGAAAATGTACATTCACTTATTTGAGTGATAAATCCCTGTCTACACGAATCAGGATAAATCTCAAAACGCAAATATTATTTTACGGATATACGTTCCATTCACACATATCCATGTAAAACACCCACACAAACCGTAAACTTTAGAAAACGCCTTCCAGAGTGTAATTTTTTGAAAACTGAACAAAATTAGTCTCGTGCGTAAGGATAAAACCGTAAAAATAAAAAAATTATGACGTTTTAACTATGAACCAGTTTGGTGTTCGCATTTATCGTTTTTAAACATGGCGTAAGCGCGGAAGGTTGTTGTGCGTCCGGCTTTATATTACGATCTTGAATTCTCACGCAGATTACATTCAGGGTCGTATGAATATTATTCTCCAGCTGTGTTATCTTGTACGGGAAAGGTAATTGTCAAGCGGTTCGGCAAGAAGCGTCAAAGAAGAAAGCGAAAATTTTAGATCCGACCTGGACGAATAATGCTTGGTGTAACGGTTTCCCGTTAGCGAACTAGTTGTTCCGGAAGAATGGAGGAAAAATTTCTTAACAGTTTTCTCTAAATCCTTATCTGCAATCCACTTCAGCTCCTCTTCAGCAGTTACTCTAAACAATCTTCTTCTCTTAGTGTACTCTTACTTACTTTAAGCAGACTACTAATATTTGTCGAAAGAAAAGAATGTTTTCTTAAAAATTTATTTGTTCTTTTTCAGTGTGGAGGCCATTCTTACAAAAACGTTTAATTGACATTTATAGTAGAAGCAGGAATTAGAGCTTAAAAATAACCGACTTGTGGTCCTTTTTAAGGATATCACTGCTTCGAGCTTCTAATATGATCTCTAAACGTGTTAAGGAGGCTTTGATTCTGGTATTTTGTTTCTACCACGTGATAATAAGGCTAAGATGAAAAAAACAATTAAAATTCTTTAAGATTAAAATTCTTAGGCAGTGTCGGTGCAATTGTAACTATTCAGAGTGTGAAAATATTTACATCTGCCCCATGAAAGCTACGGGATTTTCACTTTGCTTGGAAGACTGATCACGTGACTATAAAAGATTTGCTCGACACTTGCTTTGCTTTGCCAATTTTTACATTCCGAAAACAATTCTTCGTCTAGAATAATGCTATATTTTTCACAAATAGTTAAAATGTACAAAAAGAAATGTGTCTTTAGACTTTTTTTGTAATGGAAATACATTGCGTATGCAAAATAAAATTAATTTGCAACAGTGACGCCTGTCTGTTGTCGGAAACTTCACAAAAATTCTTACAGCTATTCAGAGGCCGTGGAAGGTTCTTAATTGAGGGTTGGAATTGTTCATATATGCTTGTTTTACTTAAGTAGCTTCTATTGAAATCAGTTTTTTTTATGGATTAACGCAGATTAAAACATAATATATAAATATTGCTCCAACCCCAGACACCCACCCCACCCCCAATTATCACTCCTGCGCGGCCACTTCGATTGTGTTGTTAAAAAACATTCATAAATATATTTATGTGTTTGTCAATATAGTTCATCCAGGTTGGTAGATTCCAAAAAACGGATTGTTGAAATTGATGTTGACTCACGTTTTGACAACCTTAGACATCAGTAGACATCTTCAAAGTCAAATGAGGAGTAACTATAAAATAAACTAGCGAGCTAGCCTGATGATTTCGAGGAATTGAAAGGAGCTAAAACTCAAAGCTTAAAAAGTACAACTGTTTACAAAGCGCCACACGTCATTCCGGCTGTAAGCCTCAAATAAGGGCAATTTAGTTGTTTTATTTTTAAATGTTTTGCTTAGTTATTAAATCAAAATATTGTGAAATTACTTGAGAAGATTTATCTGATGATGAGTATTGAATATTTTCCATTTGCCAAAATCATTTAACGCTTGGCAGAGCGAGTGCTGTACAAGTTTTGTGGTATCAAGCATTATAAAAGAAGCACAATAAAACGTATCCTTTGATTGGTTAATAGCCATGTTTGCAACAAACCGTTCTGCAATCAATCAGTCAAATCGATCTGTCAATCAAAGAGAATTTTCACATAAATTATGAATACATTTTAAAGTAACATTAAAACCTTATTAATCTGTATGTTTGCATGCTTGCCTATATGACTTGACTCTTCTTGTTTAAAAGTGCATACTTTATTTTACAGCAATTAAAATATTTATATTTTTTATTATTTATCAGGATGCACGGTTACACATTGTATGGTTTGTTATGTATAGAGTCACCAGAGTGCTCAATCCTGTAACGCTGAGCTATATAAAAATATGAGTTAGAAGGATAAAAAGAAGTTTTGGAGTAATTGCTATTACCATAACTTACTGATGCCATATTGAATTTGTTAATTTTTTCTGTGTTGTTATTCATAATGACATCCGCACTTATTACTGTTGGTAGTGCATAAATAGTGCATGTAATATAATAAGATTACGTCATTTGATCTACAAAAGATTATATATGTGATCTCATGGTTATTTTCCTTTATCATAAAACACCTTTTACAAGTATACTAAATTCGGTACTTTTCTGATTGTAATGCTCGATTCGAATCAAGGGACCACTCGGTAAAAAATTGACTCTGCGATATTTAATATCGTGTTAATAATTCAATGCATCCAAATTTACATTCAAAAACTTCACAATGTGATTCATTTCTGTTAAAAGTTTGTGAGAAGTGTCATGGTAAGGAATGAATAACGCCTTATTTAACCAAAACACAAAAATATCTTCTTAGGAAACTATGCTCTACTAACTGCTGTTTCGACAAAATTGAAGAAGTATAATTACAAGAGAGCATAAGTAGCGTAGCGCCAATCATGTGTAGTAAGTTTAAGAACTAAGGGCTCAATATTGTTTGACGGTCACTGCTTTATTTGCATAAATTAGCCTTCATCAAAATTTATTGTCACGAAAACTCTCGTAAGCAATCATGACGTAAAATTTGGCGGCATTGAAGTTAAACATCATCTTTTTGATACTTTTAGTGACATCTTTGAGAGACTAAATGAACAAACCAATCATGCATTAACTATTAGTTTAAGGAAGTCTAGTTGTTATAAGCTTCTAACCTTGCAAATAAAATATACATAAATTCTAAAAGTCTCTACTATGCACAAATGATGAATTTAAATTCAAAATTAGAAATTTAATGAAGAAAACGTAATTTAGGGAAGAAAAGAAGAAAAATATCATATTTTGCTTTAAAAACACAAGAGAAAAGTTTGCTTTCGTATTGTGTTTATATAAATAATTATTTTATTTAAGAAAACTCCTAATACTTGTGATGTGTTAGCAAAAACAAAATACTTAAAAACTCCATCAATTATGCATTTATCAATTAAACTCTTTACAATTGTCTCTTGTTAATTATAAATTTATGAGCAAAGCACTAAATGGGAAACATAAATAATTAAATACTTGCAGGTAAGTGAAGCATTATATACAAAAGCATATGTTTAAATAAAACCCTCTGAACCAGATTTGGCAGACATCAAATTGCGAACAAAGACACAAGAGAAGTAACTGTACGTTAATACAATACATCAATTGTACTCAGGTAAAATTGTCAAAACAGTATATTTTAGTAGGCTAGTACCTTTATAATGTGTGAATGTTTAAGGATATATTGATGCCATTTATAGAAAATTTTTTCTTTCTTTTTTGCAAGAAAAAGCAGTAGCATTTGACTAGTTCTTTTAAGTCAAAATTTATTTAGTAAACTTTTCGTTTTACCATATATCAGACTGGAGTTCTTTTTCATCATTTTTATCTTTCTATCTGGTAAATAGTTTTCTGTTTCAACAGATGCTGCAATTTCGTTCACGAAAACATTCTGTCAATGATCGCGTCACTAAGTGCAGCTAAAGTTAAATGCTAATAAGAGATATTTGTTAAGCGATATTTGGAATATTTGCTAAGTTTCTGAAAAAATTAGATTTAACTTTCTGAAAAAATATATAAAAAAATTAATAAAAATTGACTCAAGAAAATTACATTGATAAGACTTGTTCAATAAAACATTAACACAACACTTGCTGATAAAGATGTTATGAAATGTATTATTGCTTTATTGCTAGATATTCTTGATGTCCTTTACTGTTTAAACAAAATATATTAAGAAAAGTGAACTTGTGCACGTATAACTATCACGTATAACGTGCATCTATTCACAATTTTCGACCCATTAATTTTCAACTAGTTAATACAAATATTTTAAATATTTATATAAAGTAAATTGGTTGCAAAACATTCACGGAGCAACTTTTATTAAGAAAAACTTAATTTGTATTTGCTTTTAAAAGTAGCTAGGCTGTGAGTTTTTATATTTTTTCAGAAAGTTAAATATTTAAAAAAAATCTTATGCATGCTGATCCAAATTCATTACAACTTTTTTAACTCTCTTTTTATTAATATCGAATAACAGTGAGATCGTTAAAATGCTTCTGACATATATGGCAAACTTTATTGAAATATAAATAACACTGCACAAAATGAACAAAAGCTTTAGAAAGTTTAGGCTGCATAGCATCTTTTACCGCATTTGAAGTTTAATTTTTTATACAAAAAGTAGGAGCATGGCCTTAAATATTGAGAAATATTGAGCAGCCTTCATGGAGAAAGGGACGTTTGAAAATGAAAACTATTCAATGGGAAGAATTAATAAAAATTGACTCAAGAAAATTATATTGATGAGACTTAACACAAACACCAACATTAACACAACACTTAACTGCAGGTGGAAGAGACAGCATGCAGATGTTATGAAATGTATTATTGCATTATTGCTAGATATTCTATAAAAGTGAACTTGTGAACGTATAACTATCTAAACAAAATGTAAGACAAGTAAACAATTCATTTTGACGAATATTGCCTTGCTATAAAATGAGTTTTATTATCTCATTAAACTTCATTAAAAATCAGAGTCGCCAACTGTATGGAAGATTCGACAACTCTGCAAAAGTAAAAAATAAATCATAAAGTTAACAGGTGTGTAAGAATAAAAGATTTGCTGTGGATATAATAAATTCCCTAACTTTAATATTTTATTTTTTGTAACTTCGTTGTCACGTCCATGCAACAAATCAAAAAATATCCATGATATTATTATTATGTTGCTTGAAAACATGTAAATCATATAGCAAAAATTGTTTAAGCAACTGTAATCTTACTTATCACAATTATATAAAACTTATACTTGTTTATCTTTAGGCAAAGGTTTAAGTAATTATGCTCTGTTGGATTAAGGTGATCCAACTTTTGTATTTCCTTCCCATTTGCTCCAGCAACTACATAGTGGAAATCAAAGGTCATCTAGCAAGAATGCATTCTAATTACATTATAAGAAACATCAGTAGTTCCAATATTCACCGTTGTCTGCATAACTGTCTGGAAAACTGCTCGTGTTTATCATTTCAAATTTGTGGTACAGTTTGTCAACTACTTTCCACTACAATAACAGAAGGATCATTAAAAGAAGATGGAATTAGTGAATGTAATCTTTTCACAATGCATATATCCGATATCAAGGTGAGTTTATAATAGTTGAAGATTCAACGAAAATGGAAAATCTTCTTTACCTTATATTAGAAGTCTTAAATTTCTCTGTGTAGTAAAATACTTATTCACTTAGCATGATTTGTTTATACAACGTCTTCATACTGAAAAACATATGAAACTTACATTGTGAATAAATTACTAAATTTATTGGTTGCAGATAAAAGCAATATGGTTCTTTATAGTTTATCGTACGCGCTGTTTCTGGAGACAATTAATATACCACCAAGTTTGGTGTATATCCTTATGTGTCTATTAATTTTTATCAAGACTCTTTACCAAAGATAAACTACAATAGCCAATACAAAGAAATTAGATTCTACTAAAATCCTGTCATAGAAAGACACTCATCTCATTTGTGGCGTAAAAAATACATTTGCTGATTTACGCTGAGATCGTCCGCGAACTATATGGAAAATAGTTGCAGTGCGTCCTAAGCTGTGTTTCCTGCTTTATTTTGTCAAGTGAGGCCAGCAAAATATATATTAATATACACATCACCTACCAACTTATTACGGTTCAAGTGACGGAATTGCATCATGATGAGCGCAACTTTGCATTGTCTCCTTGGCTAGGCCAACAATACCCCCCATATAAGATATAATATGCATCATATGAGCACGCTGATATGATAGAAAGAAAGCTCTCATAATGACGATTCTTTCAGTCTTTTTAAAGTGAAATTTGAATGGATTTTTTGCAAAATACATGAAAATAAAACTTGTAAACAGTTAAATACATGCAAATTTTGTTTTTACGTTTACACAAAGCCAGATATTTTGAGTGAAATAGTGTCAAAACAGATAAAATTCACCAGATAGAAATTACATTGTTCAAAATATAATTTGGTGGTAAGCTTGTTTTTTGGCTATATATATCGAAATTTATAGAGCAAAAAACTTCATCATTAATGCATTAATGATAATCGACACACCTTCGTCAAAGAGTTTTTTAATAGCTTTACAAAAAAAAAACACTCTATTGGCGAAGGATTTAAAACAAAATGTATAAGGAATTTCAAGTATGTCAAGGTGGAAATTTTCAGATATATTGTTAAAAATCTGATCCGAAATAATTTTTTGTTACATGACATTCAATTTTTTTGCGTTAGTAGACCCAACACTGCGATAAGTAAGGATAATGTGGTGGGAAAACATTCATATAAATTTAAGGGTTAACAAAAGATACTAAAAGCGCTTAAGTTATTAATCATCTTTGAATGAATAAGCTTCAACTTAAACACTGAAATGCTATTATAAAATCAGCAATTACAAAATAAAATCTTTACTCTCCTTCTTTGTCTCATTCGTTTACGTCTTAAGTAGGTTATAGCATTTCCCTGGCGTTTACTTTTGTTTTGCATGCATGTCGCTTTATAATCCTTGTTCAGGAGTGACGTTTATCTGCTTATTACTTATGGCATCAAAATTAAATTCATTACCTGTTTATTGCTTTTTGTCACTGAGTTATTCACATTAGATTTCTTTTTCAAGAAAAATCAAAGTTGCTGCAAAGAAACCTGCCAAACAATAATTGATTGTTGTCGAACGTCCAGTCATTGTAATAATAGAGGAAAATGTGAACTCAGTAAGCCATCAAGTAGAAGACGAGCTTCATGTAACTGTGATGACGGATATGTTGGAGATCGTTGTCAAACTATGGCAAGATCGTGTAGAAGTTATCGTGGTCAACAAAACGGACAATATAAAATATTTACTTCTGACGAGCAATTAATTACAGTTTACTGTCATTTTGATGGGAATCGTGCATGGACACTTGTCCAATCATTTAGTTTAGAAAATTCAATAAATTACCAAAATAAAGCTTACTTTAAAAATTTCCCCAGAAACGTAGCAAGCCCATCTTGGAAAGACTACAGACTTTCTTTGGAGACAATGATTGGCATAAAAGAAGACAAAAATGAAAGATGGCGCATAACTTGCAATTACATAAACATTAGCTGGAACGTCGGCGATCAAATTGAAGCAACTCATGCAAACATTTCACTATTGGACAATATTAATTCAAAGCACAATGGAGAATGTCTTCCAGTTGATCATGCAAACCTTCGTGGAGTTTCATGCAGTAAGTGCAACGTTAGATTTTGGCAAAACGAGGTGTACATTCTGCATATGGATTCATTCTTTAGTCGCAGTTGTGAAAACACTAAAAGTTGGAACGGAATTCCATGCTATGGTAGCCACGGTGAAGATAATTTTGGAATGTACCGTTGCATAAACCCAGAACATAGTTGCTCGTCTTCTGATAATTCTACCACACAATTGTGGTTTGGCGCCTAGCAGTACTTAGACGTCATGAAAACTGTAATTGTATCATCGTATTCCTTTAATGAAGACAAAAGACAAACTTATAAAAGCACCGCATTTTGTTAAAGTAATTATAAACTTTATAATGTAAATATAAAATAGAATGCACGTATCCGGAAATTTTAGAGGATGGTACCTAACCATTAAAAAATCCATACGAAAACAGCTGATTTTAATTGTCTAAATAAGTAAAAAAACAACAATTAATAGTATACATTTTGCCTACAATAACACTCAACATTAAATCATCTATGATGTCCCACGTGGAAATTTTATCTAAAAAGTATAAAACGAGGTGTAAAAATTTCATTAAAGGAAGATTCGCCTTAGAATAAAGAATATCATTCACAAAGGGCACTAACACATATTTCTTTCTGTTTCTGTTTTTGTAATTTACTGCTTCAATTTTTTTTATTTGGATCTAATAAATCTGTCATGCAACTATATGATTTGCGAGTATTCAAAAGTTATTGATATTAGTTTTGAGTAATTGCAATTCTAACTTAGAATTACATCAAACTTCACATTCAAATCATAATTTTATTAGGTAAGACTTATTGATATACTGTTGTAGGTGTATTCGATCACTGTATTCTTTATGATTACAGCTATGATTGGGATTTAAGAAAAAACACACATTTATCCATTATCTTCAGAAGTTGATCCAGTCCGAACTGCTAATATATAAAGACTCACGAGATTTAGGGCTTATTTGCTTAACTTCCTAAATTCAACACCACATATTTATTAATTAACTACTTCGTCTTTACAGTAGCTCTTTTGTTGCTCCTCTATTTCATCCATCTTGATGTCAGGTCAATAGCCTGGTTACAGTCATTAAGAAACATTGTTTCTTGCAGCATAACACTGAAAAAGAAAATCCAGTTTTCTGTTCCTTCTATTTTTCTTATTTCTGTTTTTGTCTTTAGCCACTTAAATGAAGATGCTCTGCACTCAGGCCGCGTGATTTTTATCGGTAGAGATAATTTTTATCGTAATTTTTATTGTAATTTTTATTCTCTTGCATATTTAGTGATCTCATTTGGTGGAATAAGGTCCATAAATCCTGAAGAGTAGCTTTGTTTGCTCCAAATTCTAGCATTTGATCTCCTAACTCAATTCCAGTTAGAGAGGCCTTCAGTAAGCCATCCAGTGGATTTGCTTATGTTCAGCTGAGACCTCAATACTACAGTTGCCATTTAAGGAAAGTGGACTATGTTTAATGGTATAGTCCTTACTCATATTAAATAGTTAGATAAATACTATACTGAAATGCTACTACCCCCCTCTCATCATTGCACAAATATTTTTGGAAAATTTTTCTCCATTCAATATTTCTCTATTTCTATATGTTTGTACCTGCATGAATTGCTTTTTTCGTTCTCCTGGTTTTGCAAATTTGTGGTTACCTATGAAAATAAAAAGACTACTTTTTTAGAAAATACTCGTGGCGAGATGTAATCTAAAGAATTACAAACAACTTTTTCAAGCGTTGTTTTATTTCGAGTATGGCAAAAATGAGTGAGATTTAGAAGATATAAACCCACAATTTTGGTGATGTCCTTCGTATTGTATATCTAATGGCTGGTGAAAATTACTTTTGAAACAATACTTTAAAAATATATTGGAAAGTAAGATAAGTGCTTTAGCGTTTTTACTCTTTTAGGACGCCTAACTTATTCTTTAAAAATAAAAGTAATCATTTGAGAGAAGCTTTTTTAAGAAATGACAAGAAAGCAATTTAATAACCTTTTTTACTTGTGCCATTACAATGTGCCACATTAGTAAGATCTATTGTAAATGGTGTAAATGATTTTTTTGTCTTGCGTCGTCTGGGAGGTAGGGCCTTACAAAAATTTTGATGGCATTTTGTCTCAGTAACCTTTAATTTTTTTCTCACAGGACTCAATCGAAGGGACAAACCATTTTCAGTGGGAAAGTTTGTTCAAGAAACTCATTCAAGCTTTCGGCTTTCTGTGGGAAAGTTTTGTTCAAGAAACTCTTTCAAGCTTTTGGTTTTTTGAACTGCTCTAGTAGAGTGGTATCGTTATCGATCAGGAAGGTCATACTGTGTATTTAACCGAGTTGTTCTTGCAAGATCTTCCTTAGTCTTTTGGAACTTTTGTTTGAAGTAGTTTCAAACTTAACTGCTTCTTCGTGGGGTAAGTCGTGGGTATATTTTTTGTTATCAGAAGACAACGATTCATGCAAAACAACGTCTCTTTTGATGGTGATCCATGATGACTTATTGGCTTCCTCTAGTTCTCTTAGTGTGCTATCTGGTGGCAATCCAAGAGGTTCATTGTCGAGAGTGATGAAAACGCTATTTCGGTAGTCTTCTGGAAGGCTTTCGAAATCCCACTCGTCATAGAAAGAAAAAACTGCGAAAAAATGTTTACAAGGGAAACGGGTAGTGTGCCATATATTGCAGGTACAATTTGGTTCTCGGAAGTCTATGAAATATTTCTTTCCAACATTGCTCTCGCTTTTGACATTGAACGTGCTCTTCTTTAATTCAACCGGAGTTATGTCGTCCTGTTTGTAAATGGCTAAAGCGTATCAATTTTAAGACAACATTTCAAAAAGTGCGGAGGTCTGTTGTGCAAGTATTTTGGGATTGATGGGTTGTACTTGCAGTAGGCGTTGCTCAGTCGCAGGTTTGCATCCAAATAGTGCTAAAGAGCATCGGGAATGAAAGATTCAACCAACATCACCGCAATACGATACATAGATTCTTTATACACTTTGGATTTGCGAAAATCTTTTACTGCCTTGTCGTACTCCTGTTTGGTACTGACATTAGCAATCTTCTTCATTTGCAAAAGGAAGTGTCGTTGCTGTTCATATGACAATCCATTCTTGTTTGCAAAAGCCCACCATTTTAGCGCTTGCAACCTGTGAAAGTCGCAAACATAAATCTGTACATCGGGAAAAGTTTTTTCTATCGCGACTATTTCTGCTAATGAGTAATCCACCATAAAATATTTTGGGTTCCATACTGGATTCAACCCTTTTATAATAGCCAGAGCCTCTTCTATAGTTTCTTCGGTCTCCATCAGGCACATAAATTTAGCCACAAATTTGTAGCCAACGTTTGAATGAACGCACACAAAGAAAAGCGGTATTGCGTAATTTGTTGTTTTGTACGTTGCGTCCACGAGGCACAATTGTCCGCCATAACGAATCAACATTCGTTGTTGCTCTTCACGCTCTTCATGCACAAACAAAACTTTCTTTCCTCCTTTGGAGGAATATCGTTGCTGGAAGCGTTATCTCTTGAGCGGTAGAAAAACTTGCAGCTTGGAGAATTCTGTGTCCAGGTTTCTACCTTCCTGCGCAGGGACTCTTGACGGTCTTTGCAGTCCTTAAGGGACTCTATTGCTTTTGCTACGTGGTTTCGAATATCCTTTTTATTTGGATAGTACCGTTTATTTGTCTTGCGCGGTATAGTCTTTTGCCCGTTTTGTGGAAATAAAGTGTCTTCAACGTATTGATCAAGACACCTTTTGACTTCTGAGATTTTGACTTCTGATCATAACGAAAAATACATACTTTTGCGCTCCCATGCAAACAATGTCTTGTTTCGTTGCTCACAATCAAAAACGGATTCCAAAAAATTCAATTGGAATATTTCCCTTCTTGCTTTCAAACACTGGCGGTGCTAGAAAAAATTAATGATATGTTTTTCAGCATTTTGTTTGTCTTTAAGTAAAACATTCTAATTATGCTAAGCTATGCAGATGTGTTAGACAATAAATGTATTTAAAAAAGATTGCAAAATAATTGGCGAGTCATTGAACGGTTTTTTCCTAATGAGTTTTTACCTAATATAGATAGAAATGACTGTTAGATTCGATTCTTCTCACTCTATAATAGAATGCTTTTGCGACTATAAAATGTTAATTGGTCATGCAATATTAAAGGAGAAGGGGGAAAAATGTAGCAGGCTTGGCTGCCAAATTCGTGCGTCGGTTGAAAATTTCTTGGCGTTTTCCCGCTTTAGTTTGGGGTAAGATGCGTGATGCGGTTGAGTTGATTACCTGTAACTGAAAACCGTTTATTGCCCCTTGATTTTGAGTGGTTGTCAGCTTTCACAAACGTTGTCAGCTTTCCATTAAATAACAATAACATGAAAAAGATAAATTTTAAAAAAAGCGTTTTAATTTTCTCTCCAAAACATATTCATGATTGATTTGCAATTTCTCTTTCATTGATTGATTGATTTCATTGATAAATTATGACCTATAATAACGCATAGACCAATCACCGCATGCATATTATTGTGTTGATTTTACAAATCAATTTTAAGAACATTTGCACTATAATCTATAGGACGAAAATGTTATCAAGTGACGTATAACTAAGAGAACACATTCTTTCAAGATCGATATATGTAGCTTTCATGATACAGGTTGATAGTAAACAATAAAAGTAGAACTGTTCGGACGCTACGTATTTCCCACTAAAAATCTATAATGCAATAAGGTGTTTATACTTAACAAAACGAGCGCAAGTTACCCACTTCTAGGTCTTCACGATCAGAAAAGTCTATGAAGATAAAACTTTTGATCAATGAAATATATTGCAAATGTTCTTAAAATCAACTTAAATATTCAAAGAAGTTATTTCCCTAACCAAGATATACGTACGTAGGCACTTTAAATCAATCACCTTATCTGTTGAAAACTTCAATCGGTTACCCAAACTATCCAGCTGATATTCGGCAAACAAATGTCTGTTAAGTTCCTTTTCAGAGTAATTCTTAAGTTCGTCTCTCTTTACCAGTCCTTCAAGATGATCCATGGTGATTATGCTGAATGGTGACTGACGGTGCATAAAGGAGCCGTTTTCGTTTGTGGCAATTCACTTGTAAAGTCAACGTGGTCACTGTATCTAAAGTTATAAAAAAACAACAAAAAATAAGGCTACAACTATGCTAAGGATTATATCTATGTATACAGCAGTCCCGAATGACGGTTGCTTGTAAGGAAATAAGGGAGTTTCATGAAGAACATGAAGAATAAAAAAAGAAGTACAGATAGGGGTAAGCTTTGGAAACACACTGTAAATAGTTGTGGCGAATTAATACAGCGACATAAAAGAGCAATAGGCAATGGCATTGGAAATTCCCAAAAGATAATGAAAGGTAGTAAGTGTCTAGGTGAAGTGTCTGATGAGTTTTTTTATCTCAATTGATTTAATTACATTCCAAATGGTAAAAAGATAACGATGAAAACAGAGATTGAAAAAGAGAGCAGCGATGTGTCCAAGCTGTTAGGTAGTTTAATTTTACAATTGGTTCAGAAGGACTGTGATACTTGCAAAAAATGTTGTAACATGTAAAAGAAATAGGAAGAGCAGTGCGCATGTTTAACAAAGTATAGAGAAAACTTGCTTAGGCTAAAAATACAGAATACCTGTGTAATTGTGAGTGAGATGACACACAAATGGAATATCTAATGAAGTTATAGAAAGTACAGATAAAAAAACAGAACATTTTAATTGGTTCTTTACAGAGAATAATGATCAGAGCAATGTGAAAAAGGTCATCGAGCATATCGTGTAGCATCGTGTGTGTTGAGTGCAAAAACAATATCTGCATAAACAAAAGTAAGTTTTTCAAGAAAGCAAAGTAAGAACAACAAAGTTATATTGTTGAAAGACAGTTATTCAAAGAAAACAAAACAATGAAAAACTTCAGGTTGCTGAGATAAAGATGCTAAGGTTCTTTTGACACATGTGTTAAGTACAAACACAGAATGTGGTAAGAGGTTTATACATAGCACATGTGACATGCACTCAATACAAAGCCAGAGAAAGATGACTAAGGCAAAAAAAGAAGAGAATTATGTCAAATTCTCCAAATTTTTCTTATCCAGGATGTTATAGGATCAATAGGATCTTTCACAGAAATTTCACAAGCGTAGACTTAGACAGGTTCTGTACAGTGGATGAATAAAGAGTGGGGGTAGTGGGACAACAAATTCCAAACTGCAAGTTAAAAGGCATATGAAAAGATTCATTGAAAGAGGAAATAAAGTCAGAAAGTTGAGTATTTATTTTAAATATGAAGTTTGAAGACAGAAACATAATCTGGTTGATTGTATATGAGATGGTGAACTTGAAACCATACGTAGAAACATCTATGTTAAAATAAAACTAGATGTTCCCTTTGATATCAAAACATAAACCACCTCTTTGTAATAATTAAGGAATACAGACGTCTAAAGCTAAATTAAGAACTGTTGTCACTAAACAAAAATGTTTAAATTTACACCTATAAAACTGGAAAACAAGAGAAATTCAATGCAGTATAATCTACATACTACGTACAAAGGTCCTTGGGCAGAAGTGTACCTAATTGTATCATCAAGCTTACGTACCTGATTCCGAGAGTATCAAAAGGAATGAGGGTAGTGATTTTTAGATCAAACTTCTTTAATGGCTTTCCTTCAAGTATACAATCCTCATCTTCAGCATGATATTTCATCACCAGATCCACTTTATCTTCATCTCTTTCCACTTCCAAAAATTCCTTTTCCTTTGCTAATTCTGTTTTAACTTGTTTAAGGTGCATTAAATCTTCATCTGTGTGCAGAAAAATAACTAAGTTATCTGGCTTTCGTAGCTGTATTTCAGAATATACCTAAAAAGAGGTAATTAATAAATCTCTTATTGAAATGAATCAATGATTATCTACTAAGCATAATAATGATAGCAACTTTAAAGACATATATTACTAATATTATATAACTTTCAAATAACTTTTAATGCAAATTGCTCTGGTGAAAGAATTTGTTCTGTAATGAGGGGTGAAGTGTAAAAATATTAAGCAAAGTTAATAGTTTTTATATTGTCAGCAGATACGTAAGATGCAATTAAATTAAACTGCAGTACAGCACAGCAAGTGCTAAATATTACAAAATATTTTAGTAACTAAGCAATAAAAAATGTTCATAAAAATCAAAGTTTAGATTGTTGTTAAAAAATAGATAATTTTTCTAATCACCAAATCCAAAGTTAAATTACTTATGCAAATTACATTCTACTCAATATCTGCATTCACTTTGCAATAAGCAAACAATAATGAATAAAAACAAAATGAACAATGAAGTAAAGAACCTAAGTAAGTTACTCAGTAATACCCAGTGATATGAAAGAATGTTTACCCAGTGACTTAGCCAGCCCAAAAGTTTGTTCATTATATGTAAATATTTAGGTATTAATTCACTGTAAAAACAAAAGAATTTAAAAGAGATTAATATAGCTAATTTGAAAAAAGTTACACAGCATGAACAAATTTACAGGCTTGCTGGGCTGCCAGATAACCCAGTGACGATATGTAATATGTATCTAATATGTATGTACTTAAGCAACACACCCAATTCAACATAACTCAAAAATTGCTTCATTTTTTGGATATAAGCTGATATCTACAGTCAGCTGATTTGTATGACTGAATGCATTTGAAAAATAACTTACATACACTTGTTTAATCTAAAGGAATGGTGGAAATTTTCACTAAAAAGTTAGAAATTACAAATCATGCAATCATAGTTGAGTTGCTAAATGTTTATTTGTGATTCATTTCTCTCCTAAGTCTTGTTTGAATAGCAAGCATCTCTCAATTTTCGAGTACAAATCAATAATCCAAATTTGACCTTTTTTATTGGCATATGCTGTGTATGATTTTCATAAATGTTTCAGTATGGCTGGTGTAGCTAAGTGCTTTTTTATAATTGTTTGAATGTAATGATTCATGAACTGCTTGATTTGTGTCTTGGAAAAAATACATACTTTATTTAAAAATTGATTTAATCTTGCAAATTCTAAATTAGAACAAATCAATATTTTAATTATTCTTAATACCAGATACAAATTAAGCGATTCACTAATTCATAGAGTTACTTAACAGCACTTAGCTACCTAGTATTACCTATAGTTAAAGATGGAAAAGAATTCATGATTGTTGTTGGCTGGCTCAGCTGATTTGGGTTAGAGACCTTTCTTTGTACAAACACTAAGGTTCGATTGGAATGGTAAGTATTTATTCAACGAACTTTTTACTTAACAATTTTAGTCACATAAAAGAACAATCTGGGTATAATTAAAACGACACAGTTTTGTTATTAATTCAAATATTGATTTGACAGCACAGAGCCAATAAATACCTTTGATCTAAAGCGACCTTGATCATTGAGCACCAAATGCGTGTATGTAATGACCGTATGAAAAAAATGCCAGCAATATGAATAAAAAAGTATCATAAATCGCAGATATATAGACGAAGCACATTATGCGCTGTGTCAATTTCTTGCTCAGTAATATAATTCTCAACACTGCTTTACATTCACCAAAACTATCCCGTTTGGATAGAGCTGGACCTTCGTCCAAAACCGGAACATTGCAATGCTCCATAATTAATGGTTTACGATATTTACCAAACGTGGTACAAGGAGTCTACTCATGGATAATAGCACAAGAGAAAAAATTTTATGTATCTAATAAATGAAAATTATGCATGTCACTACAAAAGCGGAAAATGAAAGCGGAAGTACAGAATAACAATTTCAATTCTTCGAAGAAGAACAATTTCTAAGTATTCGATTCTACTATATACATTAAACTGTACAGCTAAATGAATATTTTTTTCACATCAGAACTCCTAGTTTACCGTCGATAAGAACATGTCCATGTTGCAAAAGAAAACTTCCAAAATAATGTCCGAGGAAGATTTGAACCTTATTGCTGCTGGATTTAGCGGAATTCTCGGATTTCATGTTGTTCATGGCCCTGCTGGCCACGGACTGCCAAAACTTTCTATTCATGAACTCTTCTACTGTACGTACGTTCCGCGATCGCTCGAAAATGTGCCTCCCGAAGACCTGTTTGATGTTCACATTAAAAGGATAACAGGATCGACTACAACTATTCAAGTTACCAGAGACCACAACATTGGTGAAGTAAAAGCAGCAGTTGAAATAAAATCGAAAATTCCAGCTCGTGATCAACAGCTTATGTTCAATAAAACTCGTTTACAAGACCACCACACAATCGCCGAACTCGGAGTCCAACCGTCTGGTACAATATTTCTTCTTATTCGCGCCAAAGAAGGAGGACCTGACATTCAGTTGGATCCCAGCGACCTTGATCCAAGATATAACTATGACTTTACGAGCGCGTCTGATGATGGGAAGGTATACATGAGAGGAGGAAAGCAATACAAACGTCCTTATGGATGGAATAGATATGCGGTTAAAGTCCTCGGAATTTACGGTTCCAACGAATGGCTTGGACCAGACGGTATGAGAACAGAACAAGCGCAAGGTGAATGGCCTGTTTCTTATCATGGCACGAAATTGCAAGCAGCGATTTTGAAAGCAGGGTACACTATTGGACAGAAAGAACGCCATTTTGAAGGCGTTTATTCAAGTCCAGATGTAAATACTGCTGCTACGTATGCTCATGAATTCACGCACAATGGTTGTCAGTGGAAAATCGTTCTGCAAAACCGCGTTAATCCTGCCCCGGGTCGTCTGGAGATCATCACCGCCGACAAAACAAATGCTGGAATCGAATGCTGGGTGTCACCAAAGCAAGACAAGGATAACGGTGTTCACGATGTTCGGCCTTATGGATTGTTGTTTAAAAAGGTGTGATGATGGTAAAGTTGTATGTCGTCTTCACTGGACTTCATAGTTAAAGTAATAAATCGGAAATCGTAATTTTGTAATTTTAGAAGTAACTAGCTGACTCTGTATGTAGTGTATGCTATAGATCTGGCAACAACAGTTGTAGTTAGGTTTGATATCATATACTTACGTAGGGTCAAGTACATCTCGTGCGAAACTATCTTGAACTACTAATCCGTCGACATATATACAGCATTGCTTAGTCAAAACATCAAACATGCACTTACAAATTATATACAGAAATATTTTATTAACATCGAGCTTGGACATTTATGATTCAACACAATTGTTTTATTGTCAACTTGTTTCTTATAAAAATGATGTGGAGTAATAATTTACTAAATCATTAATTACTACATTACTTAGATTTCAAAAGTTTTAAGCCATTTCCTTTAGTATTATTAAGGATTTTCATTGCAAAATATACAAATGACCCATGGAGGCAACCGTTTTTATTCGCTATATTTATTCTGCGGCATTATCGTCTCATGGCCGATTCCTTTTTACAAGGGACAAGGTTCACCCCATCGGAAGTGATATCCTAGCAAGCGAGTAAAGAAGTCGAAAGTTGTTTATGTGAACACCTTAAATACTTGCAGGCTTATCTTTTACAAGAACGTCAGTGGAACACCCTACATTAGCCAGGTCTGTGCGTCATAAAGGCCACAAAAAGTTTAAAATAGTTACAAAACCAGTTATGACATTAGCGCTGGATTTTTCAAGCGCGGGAAACGATTAACATAATTAATAGAGCGTCTCGCAACTCTTCGTATTTTTATGGCTTTAGCTTGTTTGAGTTAAAAAAAACTTAGCATATTGCTCGAAAGTTCGCATTTTCTGTTTAGCAATAATTATTACCAACTAAAAGACGGCGTTGCAATGGAGTCACCCCTTTGTCCATTTCTTCGCCAATATTTTTCTTGACCATGTAAATATGGAATGTGCTTTAGTGAGCCACCCAAAGAACGAGAGTCAATTGTTGTGAAGAATCTGCGGCCTGTTCAGAGCGTTTTTTATTGATAATTAGTTATTTAATTAATAAACAATAGTTCAACAAAATTTTTGTGCGTGTTGACGGAATTAAAAAGCACGGGGTGCTTTGGGTCGTCTAGAGTTTAATAACTTTGTTGATGATTGTATATCACTTTAAGTGTGTGAAAATCATTACGAAAATAAACATATAATTGAATCTCAGAACGCCCGATGGTTTTAAATTTGCACATTGAATAATTTCTCAAAAGTCATTTCTCAGAGGTTGCCCCAAAGTTCCCACAAATACAAGGAAAAGTAAACGCAAATATCAATGTTTTGAAGAAATTGTGTTGTTTCTCATTTGTTGACCAGTATATAGTTGTATGTCACTCGTATGTACTCGTATGTACTTTTATGTACTCGTATGTCACTCGTATGTACTCGTATGTACTCGTGTGGTGTTTTAGTCACGATCCAAAGAAAGCAGTTGGTTGTGGCACCATTACTGTTTTTACTTGATGCATCTTAAGTTACGGTAAAGAAAGCAGTTGGTTGTGGCACCATTACTGTTTTTACTTGATGCATCACAAGTTACGGCAAAGAAAGCAGATGGTTGTGGCCCCATTAATGTTTTTACTTGATGCATCATAAGTTACGGCAAAGAAAGCAGTTGGTTGTGGCCCCATTACTGTTTTTACTTGATGCATCATAAGTTACGGCAAAGAAAGCAGATGGTTGTGGCCCCATTAATGTTTTTACTTGATGCATCATAAGTTACGGCAAAGAAAGCAGTTGGTTGTGGCCCCATTACTGTTTTTACCTCATGCAAGATAAGTAACGGCAAAGAAAGCAGTTGGTTGTGACCCCATTACTGTTTTTACCTCATGCAAGATAAGTTAAACGTGCCTAAGCGGTCAAAAGGAATAAATTATAAAATGCAAAATGAAAGCTAAAAACTGAGTGTTGTGAGGACTTATTGCTTGTAAAATGTAAGAGTAGGTTATGCATGTCGGGGTAATATACTTTTCGTCATTCGTGTAACATGTTTAAATGTAAATTTTATTTATATTAGGTACGTGTCTGGTGTTTGTATTTCAAGTCTATGGAAGCAACAATAGTCTCCCAACTAGAAAAATCTTATTAATTTTAATTGTTGATTTATAGTTTATTATGCTTCCTTTGTGAGAGGAGCGTTTTATACACATCATTTTTACTTTGGTTTGTGGACATGCAAACGGTCGAATTACTTTAGCCGTACACCGTACTCTTCAAAAATATTATTAAATTTATGTAACATGTGAAAAATTTAAATTGATGTTGTCGTTGACTTTGTATCAAATGCTTTGTGCATAGGTCTAATGGACGCTGACGACGATGAAGATTTTGATGCTAAATTGTCTGCAGTGAAAGAGAAATGGGATCAAATTGAAGGATGTTGTCTTCTAAAAAATGTGCAACCGTCATTTCACGACTTCATGGAAGAAAAGGTGACAATTGAGGCCGGCAAAGACTCCTTAAAGCGTTCCATCAGAAAGGCATGTTGGCAACTGAAAAGTGTATCATATCTCAAGGGGATAAAGAAACGGCTTCTAGTCCTGTTTCTTTGTCGATAGCAATTGAAAATTCAAATATAACTTCAGTTCCGCCAGATGTTTTTAAATCAATAAAATTGAGAGCTGAGACTTTGTTAATTTCGGACGGCGCTATACTTCCTGCACCAGGAAACACCAACAACACTGCGTTCATTGTGGAAAGCCAAACCTCTTTTAAACCTCACAATTTCGTCACAATTTAAAAAAACGGTTGCGTTTGCTGCGATGATTGTCCATCAGATAAGGCGAAAATAATTTGCTCTCATGTTGTTGCAGTTGCTGAGAAAGCAAATATGCTGCCCAAATTTGTTGGTTGGTTTGTAAAGAAAGGACCCGAATAAATAAACATTACTTCACTTGTCACAACTAACAGTTCACAGAGTACGGGTAAAAAAACCCATCAAGCAGCAACAAAATGACGAAAGGGCGGAATAAGCGATGGTCAGTTCTTAACAAGCATTCATCCCAAAGCAACTTTCACTGGTTTTTACACACGCTTTGACTCTTTCTCTTCGCATAGCGAAAAGATTTCTTTAGTGAAGTGTTTGATAAAGCGAACGCATAGATTGTCCTTAAAAGAGTGTATTGATAGTGATCTTATCTTACTGAAGAATATTTTTGTGTTAAATGGGTATCCGGAAAAGTTGCTAGACAAACTTTTCTTATCCACTAACAATGAACGGAATAAACTTTTCGGACTGGCCAAGTGCCTGTTTTCTTTAAACTTCCCTGGATGGGTAAGGCCTCTAATGACATCGAGAAGGAAACTAAAAATATCACTGAGAGTTTGTTTTTTGCATGAAATGTGGTCTTTATATTGTCAAAAAGAACTATTCTTCCACCCACTCTTAAAGAGTCTCTCCCTGCTCAAATATCAAGCAATGTAGTCTACGAGTTTAAATGTGAGTGTGATGCTCGCTATGTAGGTTGGACTTCTCAAAGGTTGAGTGAAAGAATAAAACAGCATGTGCCAGCTTCTGTCAGGAATAAAACTGTTCCTTTACGACAACTACTAAAACGTGGGTGTAAAAGTGAAAATCCGATTCTATGTGATTCAGCGATTAGAAAACTTTTTTTAAGCAACACTCGCTGTGCCAATGCTTATTTTGATGAAAACTTTAAAATTATTAAAAAATGTCGCTCGTTATTCCAGCTACGCGTCATGGAGTCGGTATTAATTAAATTGACTAATCCTGTCCTTTGCCAACAAAAGGATTATGTGTTTAATCTGTCTCTGTTTTAAGTGTCATTTCTAAAAATAGGGATGACATTGACCTTTTGTAATATTATAAATATAGCATGATTTGGAGGTTCTCATTTAGCAGACGTTGACACCTGACGAGTTAGTCTGCCAAAATGCATAGTGTCTCTTTCTAGCTGTAAATAACGGTTCCTTTGAATTGTTGGGTTAGTGTTCTGGTTAAAACAGTTCTTTTAAGAACTATTACATTGTTGTTATCCATTCACTATGGTATTTGCTTTTTTGAAATCCATCTTTAAGTTTGTCACCACGATAAAGTCTCTGTTTTATTAATTCACAATGTTTTTCGTCTTTACTGTGCATTTCCCTCCTTTTGTCCGCATTTCGTGCGTATTTGCAAATTGCAATTGACTTGCGAATCATCGGAGGCATAGTCTTCACAAAACGTTGTAAACAAGTCATGAAAATAATTATAACTAAACAGCTCAGGATACAAGACAAATGCAAGCTTTGCAGTCGATCACCAATAACAATTATATTTCGTTCGTGCATACGGTACAAAAAACCTAAAGTTAGTGGTAGCAGTATACTCGTATTCAATCAGCTTAGTGCATTTACCTTAATTTATTTATTGGTTGATTCATTTCGCTCTCAGTAGAGTTTATTGAAAGGCACAAAGCAAATGAATATATTTCGCTTTCCAGTCTTCCACACTTTACAAATATTTTTTGTGCAAATTTACATAATCTCAAATGAGAGCAAATACTCACACAATATACACATCAAATGTATGAGCAGAAAATACAATTAATTATTTTCAGATACTTATAATGTGTAAAGTGTTTTCCTTTAAAACATTAAACATTGCTTGCAAGACACGGAATACTTGGAATGTATATTCTTTTGAAGAAGTTACTAGGAAAAAGTAACAACAAAATCACGACCGGTTGGATCAAAAATAGTAAAGCAAGTATCGTATATTATTTTAGCCAGTACAAGTTACGTAATGGTGTTCATTTATTTAAATGGACGACATTTCATTCGCGTCATCGAACTGTATTAAACGATAAGTTTTTCAATTTTTCATGTAAATAGAAGACATTTATCCACCAGTTGGATCTCTCTTTTCTCACCATTGCAAACATCGCACTTCCATTAAACACTTATTGCTTATTTTCACACCACATTGGTTATTATAATGAAGTTGATGCTACGTTCACCGCGAAAGTCTTTATGTGTTTATAATTATGCAAACCTGAATATGTTCTTGGAGACAACATTCATGTTTTCTGTTTTAAACGCAAAAATATGTCACTAGCGTTGTGAGAAAGCATTATCGGGTAATGTGTTTTTTAGTATACGTCGAAAAATATTTACTACATTCAACGTTAGCAGTACAAGATCTACTCGGATGTAACTCTTAGCAAATATTATACTGGAGATCATGCAACTCTTGACACTGACGAAGACTAGATTGAGGAGATTTTCCTGCTGCAAAATTCCGGTCCCATACGTTGAAAAATAAAACACTTTGTTTCTGAGAAAAGCAACTTCCAAATCGTTGGAAAGTGCAAGTAATTCTTAAAATCAATACTTACGTAAACTTATAATTATTTTACCATATACAGCATTTTATTACCATCTATTCCGCGTTTTACCCCTACCCGACAAAGAGAATCCTTTTTGCTCATGAAAATATTGTTACGGGCTACGCATCTACAACTTTTGATTTTACACAATGTACTTAAATTTGTATCTTTTTGTTGCTTTAAAAACAGATATTTATATCACCATATGCATTTTGGGAAGAAATTCTAAACATTTAGTCTTATCGCGCAACAAGAGTCTTATCGCGTGACTATACGATTTTTCGAGCATGTTCTAAACTAGTATTCCGAAAGTAAATATTCAAGTGAGCAAACTTAAATGTCTTCGTAATGTTTTTGACATGTTTATCTAGAAGTTTTGTTTAGGGATTTCCACGCGATCATTTTTATATGGTTAATGATGTAATCATATGTTAACGTGTTGTATGAATGGCTGAATACATATGAGAATGCGAAATAAGACAACTAAAGAAAGGAAAAGATAAATTCCTTGCTTGTCTGTTCACTATTGCATTTTTTAGCTTACTACAGAAAATATATTAAAAAGCAAGTAAGATTTTAAAACTTGAATTTTATCCTAAGCCTAATATTGAGTTTTAAAGATGGCAGGAACTCAAACTACCAGTTTGAATAATTATGCGTAATTGACTTAAATAACTTATTGTCATCATTGTACTGTGAATGACAAGCACCCGTGTTTTTAATGAAAAATGGTCAATTATGATTGTTAGCAACTATAGCACCAAATGAACAAGAAACAAACGGCTATAAGGTGAATACTTGTTTTATAAAGACTCTGAATGAGAAAGGTGTGCTCTTTGTTTATTCAGAACGCACTAAGTTGTTAGGGAAAAGAATCATTCCAAATGTTCAACAAGTTTATATAAAAATATAGCTAATTTTGCGCGGAAAATAAAAAAGCTTAATGACTAACGAGCGTAGACAATTAACTGCAATGCTCATAAAAATAATTAAATAGAGATATAATGTCACAACCTACACTCATATATGCGTAGTTAGAGCGCTCTCTGATTGTTTGAAGTACAATGAGACATTCACGGCTTTTACGATAAGCAAAGCTCAACATTAAAGGTGACTGCAAAACAATGCAAACAATGTGTAAACGTACATCGTATGGCACACACTGCAATGAACAGTTTCTATAATATGGTCATACGTTAATAAGGCAGGCACAAGAATATTAATCAAAATGCTTTTTGTGTGGGAGTGAGTTTTCCATCAATATCGTTAACATCCCTTCATTGTTTTTGTAAAGATTTTAGCTTTATGTATCGATTGTTAAGTATTACAAAATAATTTTGTCACCCTGATCACTTCTAGAAACATCAAATTCCATCTAGTTTAGAGTATATTCTTACAAGTATATTTGATATTTCTTGTTTCTTTTAATTCTCTGCAAACTTTTAAGCCAATCTACTCAATAATTTCAATCGAAAAAAAAGTTCATTATTCTTTCTTGGCTTTGGTCAGGGCTATTTCAAACTAATTTGACTCAACAAGCCCAACCGTTAGCAATATCTGCGTTATGCAATCGTAATGAGTATATGATCGCCGAGAATAAATTTACTTGTTTTGTATAACACACTTCTCAAATAAAGCAGTGTAATGTACTTTTGTGTGAAGAAGAAAAAACATAGTTCGCTTACAATTGCATGTCTTATATAAACGAGAAAAGTTTATATAGTGCCGAGTGGTACATAGCTAAGATATACAACGGTAAATTTTGCTTTTCACTTTAGCTAATTTATTTTTGACTCATGACCTTCAATGTATGTCATTTTCAAAAAAAGTCTATTCGGATATGGCAAAGCAGACATATGTCGCCATTCGCTTAAACAATGACTCGTAGCTACTATATCCAATATATTGCAATCGACATTTTTTTAAGACGCTAGTCTTTGGCAATCCAAAACAGCGAGCTCAGTTGCGTAAAACATTTGTCTCTACAAAAAGTTATAAATCAAATGTGTTTGTTCAAATTATACATCTTCCCAAAGATTATATATAGCGAAGTAGCAATAAATTTGTGTGTTACAGAGCTTTTAGAATTAGTAAGCGAACAATTTAGCTGGTAGTGGCTATTCAGGGAAAATATAATTAAACCCAATTTAAATGTCTAAAACAAATATGGTTAATATTCAAGACTTTAAATTATGTTTTTGCACAAGATTAGAGCGCATTAAGATCAAACTTTGGTCATACGAATTGCTGATGTATGATAAATAGACAATTTATATTAGCCTAATCCTTAAGTTGAAGTTAAGCCATGTTGGTGATCTGACACAAAGAAATATTTTATTGAATATTAAAATTTTACTTTACAATTTTTAAACATCCAGTCTTATGATTAAAATTGACCTAAATAAATATTTCAAAAGCCTTAAAGACATTGATATTTCCAGTCCTTTCCTCAGCTGAGATAGTTATAAAGATACATGAAGCAGTTGTATTGATCAGTGGCGGATCTAGGGTTAGTCAAAATAAATTACTGCAGGACATTTTGGAATATATTTAAATTTCTAAACCCTTCAGAGACAAGGCCATTAGTGAATTGTATTCTTTAGAAATTCAAAACCAATAGTGTTTTTCTGAAAGTACTTTGAAATTAAAATTAAGCAGCTTTAATTTATTTTGCTCGCTGCGGCTCGCTTTAATTACCCCGAGATTCGCTACTGGTATTGATTACAGTTTCAGGACCAACTTCAAACCATTAATAACTCAGATACTCGTGAATAAACGTCATCGAGATCATTTTAATAAAAAGTATGACAGTCTCGCAACAAAGGCCTTCTGTGAAAGCAGAATTTCAATTGCATACGCTGGGGGGATCATTACTCACTAAAACGATTAGACTTCATCAACTGTTCCAACTAAATCAATTGAGATAAGTCATGAAAATGTTAAATCTAATAAGAAAAGAGGAAAGGAGGATATCTTTTTGACATTGTCTAGTCGACCTAAATAAAAAATCCTTTGTATCAATTGTATGTAGTTACAATTTTCTGGCAACAACATATGAAAATTAAGGTTAGTACACACACAGGATGTTTAATTATCGACTTTGTCTTTGATATTGTGGATGATGACGCACGTCAGTTTAAAAGACCTTGTTCTTTCCTACTTCAAAGAAGATGGTTTTCAAATGTAAATTAGTTCGTACTTACTATATAAATAGAAGATTACAGACAAATTTTGCATTCATATTTGTGCATTGGCAACCCAAAGCTGTAGTGGTTTCTTAATTGGCTTTACAACTCTATGAGACAGAGGTAAGATATAGAGCAATTCTTTGTTAAACCAAGAAATGCAATATACCTTTATAAGGGAGCTCCAATCTTGGAAAAATTATAGTTATAGTTTTCTGCATTGACATTTAGACAGTACGTCCTTTTACTAACGTTAATGTAGCAATCTTTAACGAAATAATTAAATAATAACGCAACCCATAATGGGCGTAGTTCAAGATAGTGAATATAAATGTAGAAAGTCTATTTAAGTAGAAAATAAATGCCCAGTCATAATGATTTTGTCTGTAGCGTCATTCAAAACTGACATCAATAATGACAGCTATTATTAAGACACAGAAATACATGCATCATACCGTAGTGCAAAATATGATCCACTCGGTCGACAAATTGAAAAGTTTGAACCAAATAATCATTTAGTTTATCCCTTTTTATCTTATAGAATGACGAATTTAACGCGCTTTATTCTTCTTCTGTTTATTTCTATCATCTATGTGGTAAGTATAAAGTCAATAATGCAGCATGTCTTGTCCATTAAAACATATTAATTCGATTTTTTATAAAGACCTCATGCAATGGTGGTTGTTATCGATCGTGCTTGCAAATAAAACGAAGTCGACGAAATGCACCAAGTGGTCTTTACTTCATTTATGTGAAATACATTCGTGTCAAAGTCTACTGTGAAATGAAATATCATGGAGGTGGATACACGTTCATACCAACTCACGCAGTCAGGAGGGGTAGACTAACAACGCTGATCAGACAGGTTTTCAAAAATAAAAAAAATGTCTTGCTTCGCATTCAAAAGAGAGACGGGTCTCAACCTTTCACTCTTATCAGTCAACTTTATCGTAACAGAAGGATACCATTGAAAGTTTTGATGCACTCTTATGTTGGTTACACACGTCCTTTAAATTACTATTTACGTGATTATCTATTCCTTGGGATTTTACCAAAGTGGAGGGCGCAAAATAAAGCTAAACAAGGTTTCAGGTAAATACGCTTTGGTAATAAAATTATTTGGATTTGTAAGGTAGAAAGCAACTTTACCAATATCTGTGTCTCATGAGAGAAGTCAAAAGCTGACACTCAATTAAGATAGATAGTAATTAATTTTGAACATAAAGTGAAGACATCTGCATAACATTTTGCAAAGTGAGGGCAGAGGTTAATACGTGTATTCTTATACTTTAGATCAAATTATCGTAAAATTGTCTTCAAAAACTGCGATAAAAATCCGAATTCCTACTTTGCATTCTTCCCTAACCATAAAGGAATTACACCAAGTACATACCTCAAAAACAACTTGGTTTTTGAAAGGCGTGGTGTTGCAGTTGATTGGCGGAAGACTGGTCTGAATTTACGCAGTTATGGTCGTTTACCATGCGACTTCTTTTTCCTTACTGAGTTGCACTTTGGAGGCTGTGGAACGTACACATCCAGTGACCGATGGACAGATGCAACTGGTACAGCCATTGGTCTTCGTTAATTGATTCAAAGGTGGTGGATTTTTAAGCTAACATTTCCTATTTGTTATTAATTTGAGTATAAAGTAAATGTATCATGCATCTGTAGTCCATACTACTTCAATAAATTTTTCTTTTCCAAATATATGCAATTGTTGTGTGGTTGAGTTTTATAACGTTCTAGAAAACTTATACATTGATAGTAAATTTTCATTATAAAAACCTTTTTTACTTACTTTTAGACGCAACTTTCCCAAATAAAGATCCAATATATTTTCAATCGAAAGATTTCTAAGCTGGGATATTAAACAGTGAATTTAATTTTTTCCCACCAATGTATTTAGTACTTTCATCATTTGTCAGAGTACAAAAAAGCACAGCCACATTTTGTAAAAGTTTGATGTTTTTTTTAGCCAACTGATAAGTACAGAGAGTATGAAATCAATAGCTGGACACGAGTTTAAGCCTACCCCTGCATATCAGATTTTGTCGAAATATGATGTTTTGTCGTTCTAAAAATCCCCTCAATCTTTCATTTTCTGTTAACCAAATCAAAATTATAACAATACCTAGGTAGGGTTAGGGTTAGAGTCAGGGTTAAGATTTGGGTTAACCGACGCATAGTTAAGGCAGTCTCGAATTTGTTCTTACGCTCACTATGATCTAACGCCGATCCGGAAATTCGACGTATAATTTCTCAAAGAATTTGCGTCGAATTCGTCTGCTTTAAATTCGATAAAAACGCGTCGTATACCTCCAGCCCAACAAACATTGTTGTAAACTTTGTTCGATTTATCTATGAACGACGATGTTACTCTTAACAAAGCGCTTGGACGACAATTGATGATGTATTATTTATCCAATAGAAACGGTTTTCATTAAAAATAGCAATAAATAAATGTTAAATTTTCGAGAACGTCTGTATAATCGCTGCAAGTAAAGCACCCAAAGCAGATGTACTTATACTCGCTCGAGTTTTCTGCCGGCTTTCCGAGCGCGTGACTTTGTTTCTTATGAGTAAAAAGGGGGGAGGGGCAGAGCAGCATTTAATTCTCCTTGCCATAGTAACTTCCTTCTAAAATGCTATTTGTGTGGGAGCAAGTTTCCCATCAATATCGTTAACTTTAATGGTATAATGGTATTAAAGCTCTAGTTCTTTCTTAAGTTTGGCATTTTTTGAGCAAGATTGTACGTAAAATAAAAATATTAGTTGCAATCATTGTGCTTGTATGCAAATATTTCTGCAATTTTTTATTATCTAGCAATTTCTGTAAAAAAACTTCAAGTCTCTTACACTAAGTTAGGTTTCTGCCCGACATCTGCCTTAATCTTTGCCTAAAAACACATGGAACGGCATTCGCGGCCGTTTTAGTCGTGCTGTAATCAGGCCAGCCCCGCCAAAATATATATTCCGAAGCGCTGATTTGCTTGATAACCTCACAGCCTCTTAAAATGGGCTTAATCAGCCTTAGTTTAGTCATGCTCTGATTGGGCGAGAACGACAAAAGCAATTATTAATAATATATTAGGCGTCGCACGCATGCTTAATCGCAGAATATTTTCGTTTAGACGTGCTCAAGTTTATTAGCCCGAGTATTTCAAATACTGTCGACTTATACATCGTTTTAGTGCGTTATTGAATTTATTTTTGAGGGTGAACATGGAAATCAATCAGGGGCGGTGAAACGTCGCGTCTTAAGCTCAAATAGGCAGAGATATTGTTTCTGAACTTTTACGAAAGATTGTCATTTCACGCAATGTTATAGAGTAGAAAAATGTTGTTTGTATGTCACGACCAACACCTACTATCACCCTGAAAACAAGAGATAAAGGGTTCTAACAGTCTTGGTGTGAAAGGAAAGATTGGTTTTGCGCTTGTGTGGACTGTGAAGAAACAGCGGTTATTTTGTCAGCTTAATTTATTTACTGTTTCGTTCAAAGTCCACCATATTAATTTAAACTGACAAGGTCAATATGCATCATTTACTAGGCGATTGCCGAAAGCATGAAAAATCTAAATTCGCACTTTTAAGCGTACTTAACCGGCGGCACAGGCGAACTATGTTGCCTCCAACTGTAGTGGAACTGTAGACAAAAGTCTCTCCATGTCTCGTTTTATAAATCTAGAAATATAAATTTAGAAATAGAAAATACTGTGGACATTGTCATTTTTCTTGGTTTTAGCCTCTGCGACAGTGATCAATATATAGTTTGCTTAATTGATTAGATACCTAAACTATAGTTCATTTTAAAATTTGTCTATGACGTGGAGATTTGTACGGGGACTCAGTGAACGTTTTGGTTTCAACATCGTTTCGAAAAGCAATAATTCCAAGTCATTTTCACTTTCGCTACTTGTGTCTTCTAAACTCGTCATATGATTCAACATAAGATCAAAAACTTCATTGAAGTCTTCTCTATAAAACTGTTCGTAATAAATAAAGACCTTATTCACATACTAACTTTAAATGTGTTTAAATAAAAACTACAATTTATTTTAAGTAAAGTCAAAGATATTTGCCTTTTTGCCGCCATTTTTTATTTTTGTGCCAGGATAAAACGTAGTTTACGGTAATTACCAAACTAAAGTATTTTTTACATTTAAATATCAAATTTCAAACCGCTAATCTATAACTGTGACTTGTTGTAAGAGGTTTGACAACTGAACGCCAATCTTTAACTCTGTAATATTATATTTTAGATATGTTATCTTTTAAGATTGAATTGCACAGTCGTTTTGCAGACAACTTCGTCATCAAATGAAAGTTTAAAAGAAAATAACGTCACGTTTTCTTAGAATTGCTTAAATATATGTGCTGGAGAGAGCATATTATGTAATCAATCGTACAACGTGAATAAAGTGTCGCCCAACGTGGGGCTCGAACCCACGACCCTGAGATTAAGAGTCTCATGCTCTACCGACTGAGCTAGCCGGGCTTTTTGAAAATGAAGGACAATCAAATAGTAAAACCAAAATTCGTTGTGATAAATTTGAAGGAGAACTAACTATTTAAATGTCTGCAAAATCTGCTTGTATAAGTTATCCTTCTCAACATAAATATCAGAGCTACGACACCATTTGCATACGTTCACTGCAGCAAGTGTTTATTTATTGTTACGTTGGGACAGGGCAAATTCCTTCCTTGTCTCTTTTTTGAAATCTAGAATAAAAAATAATGAGGAAATGACCATTTTTCTTGTTTTTAGTCTCTTTGCAACAGACGTCAATATATAGTTTGCTTAATTGCTTGCATACCTAAACCATTGCTCACACTGAAATTTATCTATATCTTGGAGGTTGGTACGGGGACTCAGTCGGCGTTTTAGTGTAAGCGTCGTGTCTTAAAGCAATAATTCCATGTCATCTTCACTTTCGCTCATTGTGTCTTCTGAGCTCATTATATGGTGCAAAATAAGGTCGAACACTTGATTGATGTCTTCTCTAAAAAACTTTTCGTAATAAATTAAGAGCTCATTCACATGCTAACATGAAGTGTGTTTAAATAAAAAAAAATAGAGAGTAATTAAAAAACACAATTTATTTCAAGTAATGTAAAGGATGTTTGCTTTTTTTCCGCCATTTTTTATTTTTGTGCCAGGACAAAATGTTATTTGCGGTAAACATTAAACGAACGTAATTTTTACATTTAGATGTCGAATTTCATATCGCTAATCTATAACTGAAGCTTGTGGTAAGAGGTTTGAAAACTGAACGCCAATCTTTAACTCCTTGTCTCTTTTTTGAAATCTAGAATAAAAAATACTTAGGAAATTACCATTTTTCTTGCTTTTAGTCTCTTAGTAACAGTCGTCAATATATAGTTTGCTTAATTGCTTGCAAACCTAAACCATTGCTCACACTGAAATACATTTATATCAACTTAGTCGACGTTTTGGTTTCAACATCGTGTCTAAAAGCAATAATTCCAAGTCATTTTCACTTTCGCTACTTGTGTCTTCTAAGCTTGTCATATGTTTCAAGGTGAAAAACCTGATTGAAGTCTTCTCTAAATAACTGTTCGTAATAGAGAGATGCTGCCCGTCGAATCGACGATCGCTGTCTGCAAAAGTCCATTTAGTTCACTGACTTCCACAAGCGCGCTCGTGACATAACATGCCAATGCGGCTTGCGCAGGTCCTGTTGCATTGTTGGCAACGAAATTCTCCCGAGTCTGCGACAGTGGAGGCGTTCCTGGTAGCGTGACGTCTTGATCGTTTAACAGCGTTGCTCCGCCGCCTCAAATCATCCATCTTGTTGAGACCGTTACGTGACTTGTCTCTCCAGTCGCATCGATCTTTCGCTTCGAGTTGCCAATTATCTATTGAAATTTGACATGTTTTCAAAGTGTATTTGAGAGAGTCTTTCCAACGCAGGAGCGGACGACCAGTACGTATCTTTCCTTCAGCGAGCTCTCCAAAGAGTAGCTGTTTGGGTAATCGATTGTTTGCCATGCGAGCAACATGACCAGCCCATCTTAGCTGCATTTTGGCGAGGGTAATCTCAATGTCCATGGAGTTGGCTCTCGTCAGAACTTCGTCATTCGTTACTCTTTGTTGATAGGAAATGCGGAGGATTGCGCGTAGGTGACGTTGTTGTAGCTGTTTGTAATAAATAAAGAGCTTAATCACATGCTAACATTAAGTGTGCTTAAATAGAAAAATAGAGAACAATTAAATACCACAATTTATTTTAAATAATGTCAAAGATGTTTGCCTTTTATCCGACATTTTTTATTTTTGAGCCAGGACAGCACGTAGTTTGCGGTAAATATCAAACTAAAGTATTATTTACATTTAGATGTCAAAACTTCGCTTGATGGATTATTAACAAATCTAGAAGAATTAGGATTATTAATAAATCGAGAAGAATTGGGACTATTCAACTTTGGGATTATTAATAAATCTAGAAGAATTGTTATTTAAATAATATTATAGAGATGTTTTTGTTAATGAACTTTGCAATCCTGTTTTTAGACAAAGACTTTGTCATCAAAAGAAAGATTTGAACCAAATTTTAAAAACTGGCAGTTAAATGGTAAAAACTTGAGGACATAAATTGTCATTGTGATTCTTTTTAAAAAGGGATGAGTTGATATTAAGATAATAGAGAGTTTTGTCATGGGGCAATTGTATGTTTTACATGCA